AAGGACTGCTTGACAATTACTACCTACCTGATCCCATTTAACGCAAAATGTCAGGAATTAATCTATTTCACTCCTGCGGCTACATATCAGGTAAATATGCTCAACTGACAATCAATGGAAAGTAAATCACCAGTCCAAAGTTGTGTGTACAAATACCTTAATAGTATAAAACTTTAATTGTGTATATTTTTAAATCTTTTTTCTTGTTTTAGTTCCTTGTCCTCCAAAGAACTTTACTGCAATTGTGGAAAACAACACTCTATCATTGTCATGGATGGAGTCAATTCATGCTACAGAATATATTTTGTATGGTGTTTCTAGTTCAGGAAATATTCAAATATGCAAAACGCCACAGCTCTATTGTGAAGCTGAAACAAATGGTTACACAAACAATATTCAAATTGTTGCATCAAGTTCTGATGGTGAAAGTGAACCCAGCATAACCAATATCTTGCAAGGTAAGTTTTCCTGCACAAAAGACAACTCAAAATCCCTGTGAAGCGCTTTGAGTTATCAGAAGGATAACGCAAAGCGCTTCACAGGAATTACTGTGAATAGAATGACTGTATTTGTAGGCAAACATCGCAGAAAATTGCACACAACAATGTCACACAAACAGCCATGAAACAAATTAAAAATTTTATTTGGGGGATTAAAGGCCAGGAGACCGGAAGAATCTCCCTTCTCTTTTCGAATAGTGCCATGGGATATTTAATGTCCACCTGAACAAGCAGACAGAACCTCAGTTTAATGCTCTGAAGAGATGGCACCCCCAAAAATGCAACACACCCCCAGCACTAAATTTGTAGTGTTAGCTTAGACTATGTGAGTTCAAATCCTGATGTGGAATTTGAACATGCTACCTTCTGACTCAGAGGCAAGAGTACTACCACTGAGCCACGTTCCCCAGCACCTTTCACATAAGAATAACGTCTCAAGCACTTCACAGGGATAGTAATGTGGGACTGGAGGAAATTACAGAGGTAGAGAGGGGTCAAGGTATAGAGGAATTTGAAGATCAAAAATCTTGTAGTTGATCACTGGGAAACAGGTAGCCAATAGAGCCTAGTGAGGATGGGTATGATAATTAACTGAAATTGGAAAGAATAAAAATATCAGAAAAATTGCTAATGCAATATTTGTTCTGAAATTAAAATTCAGCTTTAGCAATCACTAGAAATTAATGACAAAGCACATGTTCCAAAATATTCTAGAGGCTTTATCTTCATGAATGTTGGTCAAGCCTTGAGTTGTTCGAAAATGGAAGAGCCAGAACTTTTCCAAAATATTACTTGCGAGCGATATGATGAACACTTCAACCCTATTCCACTACCAAACACATTTTCTTAAAGAAAATTAACTTTAAAGCAGATTCTAATCTTGTACACGTTATTAGTAGATATGCTAGGCAAAGGCCAGGTGTTTTCCTAGGAAGTTAAACATTTATTTATAAAGACACTTCATGTATAAAACCACCATGTTACATTTTAATTATGAATTACTAAATCACTGATTCACAAAAAAGAGACTTCTTCGCCTGTTTCTGAACACTGGTTGAATAGCCAAATACTAATGCCCTTGCTATTAATTACACTGCTTTAAAGTGCTCCAAGATTCTACCCTACATGAAGACTATCAATGCAGGGTATATCAATGCAAGTTGCCTGCCTGAGGACATTCACGATTGCTAACCATATTATTGATTTTTGTAGTTTTAAGCAAATGTTCACCTTATGTTTTAATATTACAGGGAGAAGCCAAGTTATTATTGTTAAAAAATCGAGAAACGGAGAATTATACAATGCCTTTATGAACAATTAAGTTGATTTGTTTTCACAAGTTGGAATTTATGAGGAAACAAATAAAAATTAGTTTTATAATCTCCGCTTTTAATTTTTGAGAAATGGAACAATTTTATAAATTCGGCATCAAAGCAATTACAAGCCACATATTGTAATTACAAACTTCAAATTTCACAGGGCAGAGAAAAGTTCAAAGCCCTTTAAGAAAATAATAATAATAATATAATAATCCTTGCATTTGATATAGCGCTTTTCACGTCGGGAGGACGTCCCAAAGCGCTTCACAGAACACACTGTAAAGTGAATTGACTGTATATTTGTGGGCGAACGCGGCAGCCAATTGCGCACAGCAATGTCCCACAAACAGTCGTAGATTGAAAATGACCAATTTAATTATTGTTTTTGGTTTTTGGAGGGATTATTAAATAACCATACAAAAGCACCTAATTTGAATTTCTGAATACCCATACCAGCTAACGTATGTGTGATTGCCAATATTTAGTGCTAAATTATAAGATTAGCCTGGTAGAGGCTAATCTTGAATTGTTCTATTTTCATCAGGTGGGCCTTTGACAAGATAATAATAGAACATGATCTAGTTGTTTGCCTTCTGAGACACCCAATTTGATACAATGTCATAAAGATGTTTTTGGAACAAATAAGAAGTTTGTCAATTGGAGAGGGAATGTATTAAAAGTCTTTAAATATGGTAATCGTTTATTTTTTTCCAGAATATCTTTCCCCTCCAAAATTATACTTCATTGAGGCAACAAATGACTCGGTTCATATGAAATGGTTCCCTGTAGATGGTGCAGAGTACTATATGGTGATAGTGAAAGAAGATACCATTGTGACTCCAAAACCATTTAAACCTATTGCAATATCAGTTGAAACAAACTATGTCCAAGTGAACAACCTTTCACCTGAAACACAATACATTGTTCTGATATCAGCAAAAAACTCAGCTGAAAGTAGTCAATACTCTGAGGCTAATTTTGTAACAAGTGATAAGTGAAAGTGAGCTGAATTTTATGATAATTACATTCTACATTTTGTTTATCTACCTGGGATAAAATATCAAGCACATTTTTAACAAAGGCTTGGTAAATCACAACTTGAAAATAAAATTGTGCAACTTTTTTTAGCAATTAGAAATTCTTAGAGGGACAACTACGGTTCAGCATATCTTGCAAAATGACACATTAATATAAATTGCAAGCATGTCAGATTATTCAATTACACTTTCTTTATATGTGAGATTTCCAATATAAATTTTATTCTGTCAAATTGCTACATGCCTATATAATGTGAGGTTAATCAAATATCAGATTATTCCATTGTTTTCTTTATATATATGTGTATAATGAATTGTGTTCTGTTCATCAAATTATTGAGTACTGTACACCTATAATATACTGTAATAATCAAATACTGATTTTAGCAGCATACAAAGAAAACGTGCAATTTTATTGTTGATGCTAACTATAGTGATTTCTAAAACATTGTGTGGTCTGTATCAAAATATATTTTTAATGGCTTCATTGTAAAATATTGTTCCTGTATTTGGTGAAATAAAAATCTCAGCATTTTAGTAACTTGTGGAATTGTTGTGAGACATTAACATTTATATTTGTATTAACATTTATACAAGGAACGAAGTGTCCAAATGTGATTATGGAACAAACCTGTAATCTCCGTTTTAATGGTTTTACCAGCAGTTTGCTATCATCTATTTTAATGAGCATAACATGTTCTTAGATCAAGCTGCAAACTCAGTTGTTAGTCAACTACTTGCCTTTGTAATTACTGACAAACCTTAAGATATCAAGAATTTTTTGAAGACAAATCTAATACACATTAGATGTTGTATATCAATTAGTTACTAAATCTTGGGGTATAGAATAATACTTACATTTTGCTGGAATGGAAGACCAATGTATACAGCTGACTGTTACAGAATGTTCATCACCAAATCTAGAATACATTAGTGCAAGTGAAACTGATATTTTTAGTTAGAATCTTCACAAGCTGCAGATCATCCAAAACTCAGCAGCTCGTGCACTCTCACGCACCAGGCTCCGTGACCCCATCACTCCCACCCTCGCCCGACTCCACTGGCCCCCCATTCCCCAGAGGATCGAGTTCAAGATCCTCGTCCTCACTTTTAAGGCTATCCATGGCCTTGCCCCCTCCTACCTCTCTGACCAGCTGACTCCCTACCAACCTGCCCGCTCCCTCCGTTCATCGGGTTCCAGCTTGCTCCATGTGTCCCGCCCGACCCACCCTACCCCCGGTGGCCGGGCTTTCAGCCTCGCTGCCCTCACACTCTGGAACTCCATCCCACTGTCCCTTCACCTCACTTCCTCCCTTGCCTCCTTCAAGGCCTGTCTCAAGTCCCTTCTCTTCGACCGTGCCTTTGGTCTCCCTCCCACCTCTCCGCCTTCTCTCACCCTTACACCACCTCTATTCTAAGCTCGGGCCCCGCCACCTGATTGTTCAGCACCTTGGGACGTCCTCCCGACGTGAAAGACGCTCTATGAATGTAATTTTGTTGTTGTAGAATGGATCAGGATATGAATAGTTGCATTATCTGTCATCCCATGCATAGGATTCATATAAGAAATATTTTTTTGTATAGCAATTTGCCATTTTTACTCTGGACCTTGATATTTTAATGGTCTCTGAACTTTTTTAAAAAAACTCGAGTCTCATTAGCTACAGCAGGGCAGAAACTTTCCTTGAAGAGTCAGCGTAAATTTGAAGTGCACTAAACTATCTTGAGCTATAATTAATGATTTAATATTTTGAATATTTGCAATACCTCAATATGGATATCATTTCCAAATAGTCATTGAACACGAAACTAACCCTAAAGTAGTACTTTATTTTTGCTCCACGCCTAGTTCGAATTAACTTATGAACATGAACTGCTCATTCATTAGAAGGATCTACTTGTTTCCGGCTTTGTTTCAGCCTCAATTTAAAATTGTTTTCGGCCTCAAAAACCACTTGCAACTAACACTGTGATTGATTGCTGTGGGAAGGTTTCTTCTAATCTTCCTTTTACTCTTTTGGGACAATTTTGATCTCAAACTTTCATCTTTAATAGAGTTCTTGTTTATGATATTGTCTTACAACATGAAAACATACAACACTATATCAATCATCTCTGTACAATATCAGCACACCACACTTGAGTAGTTGAAGTACTGGCAGTTTATTGCCCATCATACAAAATGAACCAACATGGCAGGTGCGCCACGGATTAAAACTCTCAGAACATATGTACATAATGTACTTGCAAAAACATAATTTCAAACAAAAACAAATCTTGTATCATCAACTACATTGTACAGAATAAAGTTGTTTTTTGAACTACAATGGTAAGTTGAACAGCTGGTTACCAAAGGCACTTCCCTACAAACAGGAAATATCTGCAGGCTACAGGGATCTGAAGACGCATTTATCCTAGCCATAGCATAATTTTTTAAAATTGTTTTAAAGAAAAATGTTCAATTCAAGCAATTTATTCACTGTACAATTAAAGATTCAAACTTTCAGTCCTCATCTGTAGCATTGCCTTCCAACTGTTCCTCCACATTACTTTTGTTCTCTCTTTCTGTACTCTGACTCCTTCCATGGCTTTGTTTACTTGAGTGGTCCTTGCCGTCACTGTGGCTTTGCTTGTGAGATCGTTCTGTGCTCCGACTGCGCTTATGAACACGTTCTTTGCTATCACTGCGTCGTTTCTTTATTCGTTCACCATCATTCACACTAGTCCTTTCTCTGCTAATACTCCTTTTGTTTGATTTCTCCTTATGTTCATTTCGGTGTTTAGACTTTTCTTTGCTTTTGCTTCTACGACCCCTACCAGGACTGCCACTTCTATGCCTTTTGTCTCGGCTTCTGCTTCTACTATGCCTTTTGTCCTTCTTGGATTCCTTTTTATCTTCTTTGTGTCTCCTTTCATCCTTCTCTCTCTTGTCATCCTTATGCTTCCTGTCTTCCATTTCTGAACGGCTTCTTTTTTCCCTGTCTTTTGATCTCTCTGGTTCTTTCTCAAAATTTCTTTCTCGGTCTCTCTCACTTGCCCTTTCCTTGTCTCTATCATGGTCTTTGTCTCGCTTTCTGCTTCGCTCATTTTCCTTCTCTCTGTCCTTATCCCTTTTATCACTCCTTTTATCTCGGCTTCGACTTCGGTGTCGGTCTCTACTTCTACTTCGCCTACGGTCTAAACTTCGAGATCTATGCCTATCCTTTTCACTTCGATCTCGAATCTGCTCTCGTTCTCTTTTCTGTCGCTCCCTCTCCCTTTCTAATTCTTTCTCAAAACCAAAAGATCCATGACCATCCCTGTGGCGACTTCTGCTCCTGGATCGCCTGGGTGACTTGCGAGGACTAAGGGATCTTCTCGGTGACCTTAAAATAAAAACAGTAAGTTGGTGTAAATTCTAAAATCTTTCACAGCTCATTTTTTTCAATGAATAGAATGCCTTAAGTTACCGTGAATGTCTACGTTCTGCAGGACGCTCTGCCTCTTCCATTCCATCCTTCTTGACAATTTTCCTTGGTCGAGACTTGAGCAATTGGTCCAAATTCTTTTGAACTGGGACTGGAATTCTTGGGAATAAAGTAGAGAACCATTCCAGTTTTGTGAGGAAAGAACGAATCATCTCTCCTATTGTCATGACACAACCTCCTCCAGCCTTTACATCTAGTTCCTGAAAAACATAATAAGTATAACATCCTCAAAAAAATGTTTTTAAGGAATGCTCTTCACATTTGTGTTAGTATATTAAAAAAGCCCCAGTAATGAGCTACATTGAAGTATCCTAAGAAATGTGTATTTGAAAGGCATGCAGCTCAACCTGCAAGACTCTCAAGACTATCCCAAAATTAATGCAGTGAAGCCTGTAAAAAATGGTTAAATTAGATTGTTGGTACAACTTTGGTAATACCACTAACTTGTGCAAGTATCTGCAAGATAACATGCACTATTCCTCCTAGAACTGGCTAATACAATGTAAGCTGACCCCCTCAATATGTGATCTAAAACTGCAGTCTAATTGCCCTGTTTTAAAAAAATTCCCACATCTAAATCTCTTTAAATTTGGTAATTTAAGAATCTTGAAATAGATCACAAACTATTGACCAACGATCTCAATATGCAGCTAGAAAAAGTACAGCTACACTTGAAAACTATTGGCAAGCAGTTACATTTTCCTCTACATCCTTGTGACCCTCATATCTGAAACAAACCATGTTTAACATTAAGGCAACTTTTTGAAGCAATAGCAAACCAACTGCCTTGAAGCAGTGAGGTATTATGAGTTAACATTGAGAACAAAATATTTTGAAACTGCATAATCCACGATGACCACTGTCTGTGGAAAAGGGTCATTACCGCATGATTGCCTTCTTGCCATGCCCTCTCACAGCTCAGGACATGTTGGTCAGCTATTGTCAGTCCCCAACCTACAGTGCAAGCACACAGGAAAATCAGATTTTGTTATTAAGCTAGAAAAACAAAAAAGACAGTCTAAACATAAAATAAGCGCTTGCACTCACACACATTAATCAACAGTGTTGCTCAGCTACATTTCCAAATTCACCTGCTGCCCAATGAAGATCTAAAGAAGAAAACAGGGCAATTAGCTTAAATGCAGGCAGTCTCAGAGTTTCATTCAACTCAGGTTCAGATCTAAAATTCTGAGGAATAGATAGATGCAAACGCAGGCAGAACTGCAGCTTTTTTGTTTATCTGTTGCCTTAAGTAAAAGTAGACTAAAAGCACTTTCAGCACTACGACTCAAATCAAAGTGCACATAAACACATAATAAAATTCATTAGATTGATGAAAATTTATGAGATAAGAGCTTCTTTAAAAAAATTCAGAGACCATAAAAATATCAAGGTCCAGAGTAAAAATAACAATTTGCCATAAAAAAAATTCTTAGATGAATCCTATGCATGGGATTAGAGATAAACCAAAACCGCATATGTCAGCCACTTTGCCTGTATGCATATTGAAGAAAATTTATTTAATGCAAGAAAGTGGGTGTCTAGATTTTATTCCTCCGTAATAAGACTATACTGCATTGCTACTACCACTGCAAACCCCAAAGGAACAAAACCTTAAAACAACTGCTATTGCAAGCACAAAAAAGTACAATATGATTATTTTGAGTTTGTAGGAATATAGGAGTAGGTCAATTACATGGTCAAGGATGAAATTATTGTAGAATGCTACCTTCCTTATTGGATCATAGAGATCATTTAATCCCATTCCCCCACCCCACCATCAATTTTCACACAAGAAAATCTTTACATTCCAATTCAGTTGATTCTGCATTCATGACATTCATTCTGTGGCAGAGTATTCCAGTCTCATAATCCTTTTAAGTGAAGGTTTTCTGATCTGACTGCTATCTTGTTTACGTTATATTTAAAAACAAAGTACCTTTTGTTTTGGATCCCTTTTATTAAAGGAAAGCAAACTACCCTTCCCATTACACGCAGCTCAATCAAATCATCTTTTTACTTTGAGCTTTACAGAATATAATTTAAATTCACTCAGTGATAGATGACCCCCTCATGATAACTAAACGCATTCATCCCAATTATATTAACGTTGTGAATCATCATTGGATGCCTTTAGATTAGTACATTCTTCCCATTGTGCACGTGAAAATAGCGAACAATCAAGCTGCATGGCCCTCCCATCTGATTTTTTTCATTACCATAGGGAGGAAGGAGTACAAAATTTGACGGTAAAACTTTAAAATGTACTTCTGCAAAGACCAAGAAACTAATCAATTATATCTGTAATTTGACACAAAGTAGGGGTCGTAGAAGCATAGATTGTCAGCATGTCTTTGTGAATGTGAAAGATTATAAACCAAAATAAAGAAAAGTGACAAAGTTCTCCCACGCCACTCAAATCATTGTAAAATAGACAATTTGGAAAGGGTAAAATCTAATCTTTCACTGTGGTAGACCAACTGTATATTGTGGTTGCATATCCTTCAATTCTTTCCAGGTGTATTAGGGAGCAGGAAAAGATTTTGAACAAACTAAATTGTTGCACTTCTTACAATTAGCCACCACAAATTACACTAACATTAAAAGTCAGATTCGTTCCAGAATATGAAATGTCATAAGTTTTTATAGCAACATTCATTTGATACATGTCACTCATCGGTTGCAGCAATGATAGGAATATCATTGCCATGTGTTCTGTAGCAAATTATTCACCATGGCCATGTAACAAATCCGTATTTTAAAAAAAGTACATCAGTTCATTATTTCCACTTCAATTTAATATAAAACATACTACAATTCAATATAAAAAAAATTGCAGCAATTGAGAGGATACAGAGGAGGGCAACCAAAATGACTGAGGGGATGGAGGGACTGGACTATGAGGAGCAATTAGATAAACTGGGCATGTTCACACTGGAGCAGAGAAGGTTGAGGGGCGATGATTACAGTCTTTAAAATTCTGAAGGAAATAGATAATGTAGACATGATAAGCTGTTTTATCTTGTACCGAAAAGTAGATCCTGAGGATACGAACTGCGATCGAATTGGGGGTAAATTTAGAACAAATCTTATGGAACAGGCTTCTTAGGGAGACAGTGGAAGTAGCAAATGTTGTTCGTTTCAAAATCCCAATAGATAATACTGCTGTTAAATCGCTACAATACTGAACCCAATTCTAAGATGAAGAATTTTAAAATAAACTTAAAAGGGAGCATCATTGTAGAGTTAAAAACAAGTTAAGTGTCATAAATCTGAAGTCATCACAGTTGATACTACATCTTTCCCATCTGTTGAATGAGTTTATTTCAAAGCTTCCCATTCAAGACTGGAGCGGAGACAAAAAAATGAAATATCCAAAACTATTCCAGGAAAATTAAAATGGACTGGAGATGACTTGGTCTTTAGGTTGTAGTTGATAATCCTATGTTAACATGTATCCAGAATGGAAAGTATATTGAGAATGGAAGAATGCTTGGAGAATCCCTAATAGATTAGATGAATACAAAAATGTATCCAAGAAACTATCACACACCAGATATTTAGAACACCACTTCAATGCAACAATTTTGCACAAATAGTGAAAATTAAACAATAGCCCTTGCTAACATACCTCCTCATCATCTAAAAATGATTCATACCAATCCCATAGGTCTGCTGGAGGCTGGGTGTATCTGCAAAAGAAAAACAAACACACTTAAAACTGAACATAAATTAAACAACATTTAATTATCAAGGTATTTAAAGTGCATATGCATACCTAATATACATGAATCCTAAACCTCTGATGTATGGCGAATCTGTGTGTGTTATTAGTCCCATCACTTGCTTTCGAGTTAACTTGAGGGTAAATAGTTTATAGAGCAGACAGAAGGCAGTAGAAACAATTCCTCCTGTGCCAACACCACGTACCTGAAATAAAAGAAAGCGTTCAAAAATTACCCTCCAAATTTCATTATACAATCACAAAAATAAGTCAGTAGAAAGAATAACTATTGCTTAACAATATTTTCAAGTCTAACGCTAATGTAGAATTAAGAATTTTTTCCAATGCTTTTACCATCCTGTAGTTTTTTGCCTCTAAACATTGTAGTGAGTGTGCTTTGCCTCTTCAAGTGTCGCAGTCACTTTGATAATCTAAATGCTGAGCTGAGTGAAACACACCAAATATCAACACCAGCTAAATCATTGGTTTTTTGTGCTTTCATGTTTGTCACTTTCCCACAGCTACTTAAAGATTCAAATTTCTTTAGTCAGTTACTCACATTTGTTCATGTTTTAAATAACAATGATGACATGCTATGATAAGTGTGATCAAAGGGAGATAAAACATATGGCTTACTCCTCTTAATGCTCCACCTTGTGTTCAGGAGGACCTGTAGATTTGCCAAGATTTACTCATTTGAATGTTAGATTCAGCTTTTATGAACATTTACTGCGCATAATGCAACTCCTTGTTTTAATGTACAGACATTTTCCTGGCATAATTGAATGAATTTAGAAAAAAGTTTGCAAGTTTGAAGTTTAATTACTTCAAAGCATATTATGATTGTTACTATACGTTCTGACTTTTCTCCTCAATTGCACCATAACAAAATTAAGTCTCACTTATTTTCTTTGAATTTAGTTGAAAGCTCAAATATATTACTGACAAAAGAAACCTGCTCCAAATATATTCATATGCACTTTAATTTATTCCCCAAATATCTGCAAAATGTATATTTTAATAATTTTGCAATCTCACAAGAACCTGAACAAATACGGGTTGTTTTTAAAACTACGAATTTTTATTTAGATCTGGTATCATCTAAAATGTTAATAAATATCACAAGCTCAATTTTAACCATGAATCTCAACTGCAAATTAGAAATAAACATAGCACTATAATAGTAGCTTGTACGTATATAGGGTTTTCAACAGTTGCAGAATAGAACTGCTTAGAAATTAGTAAAAATGTTTAGACAAACAAAAACTATTAACAATCATTTTGTAAACAACCTAAAACTAATTCCTTGAATAGATAAACTTTCAGAAGAATGAAACTTCACTGCAACCAATGCCTTTTTCAGAATGTTTATTGACGAGACATTGGTGGATCATACAGTTTATGACAGAGATTAAAGAAGAAAATAAAGCACGTACTTCTACTTACCCCTCCGCACATGCCTGTCTGGCCTGAAGTCTTCCTGCTCCCCTTTTCCCATGGCTCGATATGAGTAACCTTTGAAGAGCAAAAAAANTCTTAATTAGAAACACTGCATATTGGAAGAAAATTCCTAGTCATTTTAATAGCTACATCGCTGAAATAGAATTAATATCAATTATCAGTAGAGGCAATGGCAGCAAGGAAACGAGAAAAAATTATTAATTAAATCTTATTAAACAATAACATTTTCCAATGAAATCAGGATCAATTTTAAAATTACGTCACTATGATTACTTCATTATAACGAGCCACATCAGTTCAAAGCTATCCTTTAATATTACCCGGGATAGAAGCTTTGAGAAGACCGAGAGCCAATGCTGAATAATATAATAGTAGCAGGTGATATTAAAACTTTCCTGGGATTGGGAAGACATGAAATCAGCTCAATTCATTTCACAGGCCTTGATCTACCGTGCCTTGTGTATTTAGGCAATTTTTCCACATATATCTTGAGATATTTACATTCATTACTCAGCATTGGCAGTAGTTTCACACGGTACCATTGATAGATGGATCCTTTTTGACTAATCAAAAAAGGAAATGAGAAAATGATGAGGGGAGATTAGATGGATCCATTCCTATCTTGATCCAAATACAAATTAACTGAATTGTAAAGTTTTCAGAAGGTCTCATTACTATAAATAACATCACTATAGATTAAATAAACTGAAGGTTTCTTGAGAGGGGAGGGGTCAACTGGGTATCTGACTCGCACTCAGTGAGTCTCTCCAAACCAAACTACTTAAAGTACAGGAAGCACACATATATAGTTTCAGTTTGTCTGGCAATGGAATGTGCACCTTGCCCACAAAGGGGCACATTTGCCTATCTTGGGTATCACATTGGTGAAACTGCCACAGAGGATCACCTTGATGCACACGTCACCTTCAAGCCAACTAAGCAAAGAGATCCCACTTACTTTCTCCAAGCAGCAGTCAGTTGTTTGGTCATTAAACCAAACAGGAAACAAGACAATGCTAGATTGCTACATAGTATACAGAATAACCTGTATACTACTCCAGAAGACACAAATATCAACTTCTGCCTAAACAGAAACAACCACTTTCTGATTACATAATTGCCAATTTTATAATTCTTGGAATTTTTTAAAAAATACAAGCAGAGCTGTAAAATCGGTTAGTTACAAACCAACAAATTCGTTAAACATTAAAGATTAGCTTGACAATCACGTCAATCAATTCATCAATGCAAAAATTAAAAAAAAACAATCTCCATTTAAAAAACTTTTAGACAAGTGATTCAATCTACAGTAATGCATTTAGGTTGGAGATAAATTACTCATATTGACACCTGATGAAAAGATCAAAATAAAAAGTAGGTCCATGCAATCGATCTTGCTGCCTGCAAAGACGAGCTACTCAATTTAGGTTAATCCCAGATCACAAAAGTTAAAGCTGTTTAAAACCACAATTTGTCTTTTAGAGTCTCTACACCCAGTAAAATACTTTTTTTTTTTGATTCTGCTTCGTCTCATTCATTCTCTCACACACAAGCACAGTAAATTAAAAGTTTTTGTGCATAACAAAAAAAAGTCACATCTTAAAACCATTTTTTCCAATTGTGGAATGATGAAATATATAGAACCGTGATCTTAAAATGTGTGTTACTTTTGATCTGTGACTTGCCAAAGCGGCAGCGAAGTGAAACGAGACAGCAGCAGTTTGTGCACATCCCCTTGAAGAAGTAACACCCCCTTGTCCCCAAATATCCTCACCTCACTTTACATAAAATATTAGAAATAACGAAACCCGACTGAAGCAAGATGGAAGTGCAGAAATCAACAGTTTCCCGTCAGCCTAAAGGGCAAGCGAAAACGGGGAAGGGGAGAGAGAAAGCGGAGAAGCAAAAACTGGTTGGCTGCATTTTGTCCTGCCTCAAGAGAACTCCTCGAACCATAAGTTATGTTTGCAAATGGCGCCCGATACTTGCAATCAAATCACAAAGCCGAAACGGAGCAGAGAATCACTTCCCCGCGAAACCCCGGGTCAGGGTGGCTGTCCACCCACCCAACCCCCCGAGAACAACCACGTTTGAATAATCGGTTGTGCGCAGCTGTTAATTCTTTTTTTTAAAAAAAAGACGAAGCCAAATACAAACTCGTTTCAGGATATGCACCACATCACATAAGATGCAGCCATAAATGAGCTCAGAACCGGGTGTTGGTGGTGGGTGGGGGGGGGGAGAGGATTGGTGCTACTGCTGCTGGGGGGGGGGGGGGGCAATGTGGATTGAAAGCGGACCCGATCGCGCTTAATTGATTTGAAACAAACTTTCGACGTTATTTGCTCTTCTTGAGGAAGGAAGGTGGAAGAAGAACCCCGGCCCTGAGCCGATCTCGGTATCTCAGCCGTTTTCGGGAACGATTGTGAAGTTAAAATTCCCTCCTCCTCTACGCTACCCGACCCGGTGGCCCTCGCGCCCCTGCGGCCTCTTACCTTGAAGTAGATCTCGTCCACGACCTCGTGGTACGTCTTCAGTTCGTACAGCTGCACTTTGAAGTAGGGCGACGACAGGATGTTGGTGAGGATGAGCGGGTTCAGGTTCATGGTCTTCTCGTTCCCCCAGAGCGGCAGCACGTTGCCCTGTTTTCCCGACGCGGATGGTTTGACGCTGCCTCCCGCCTGCTGCTGCTGCTGCGGCGGCGGCTGGTTCCCGGCCGCCGTGTTGTTAGCCATGTCGTTGCTGCTTTTAGTTCCGCTTCACGACAGAATGGCCGGACATTAACCGCTCGCATACAACCAGCCCAGAGAGGAGAGGGCTACGGGAGATTTTTTTTAAAAAAAACTGTTCTAATAAAATTAAACCCCGTTAATGTTGTTAAATACACATAGCTAACCGTCCACTGAGGTCACTGGTCCACCGTGAGGAGCAAAAAGGCCGGTGCTACACGCGTCCTCGTCGAGTTAAAAACTAAAACAAAATGGCGCCAGCCGCCCCCCACCGGCTAACGGAAGAGCAGTGACGTCAGATGACAGACAGCTGGAAAGGACCAACGAGGAGCGCCGCGACTGGCAGCTGACTTGCCGTCTGACCAATGAGAGAGGAACATGAGGTCGAGCAGGGGGGTGCGGGGTGGAGGGGGGGGGGTTGTGTTGTTTTTGAAAAAAATCATAACCGTCATTAGGGCGTGACGGAGGCCGCGCGGCGGCGTCAACGGCTGAAGAGCGGGCGGGAGCCGCGAGCCCGGCCCTGAGCCGTCAATGACAGGTATCAGCCCTGGCGGCCATCTTCTGTGGGGTTTTTTTTTGGTGCCGTCTCGGAGTTCAGCTTCCTTTCATCACCATTTAGTAATTAATAATCCTATTATTATCACCATCTGACAATATATTAGGACCTGCCGAGGACGTCGGTTGCAGAGGGGAATTTCAGGACAGAGGGGTATATAGGGGGTGTTTTTTTTCCGTCTCCCTCTTTACTCGTCAACGACAACAAATGACATAAATCGGGCACCTCAGAGCGCTGGATAGTTAACAACAACTTACATTTATATCATGGGAGTCCTGTAGCTCAGTGGTTAGAGCGCCCACTTCGCAAGGGAGAGAGATTCCCCGCAGGGTGAAACCTTGGGCAAGTTTCCTTACTCCCACATACATGATGATAATCCCTCAAAAAAAACAATGACAAAATTGGTCACTTCAATCCACGGCTGTTTGTGGGGCACTGCTGTGCGCAATCGGCTGCCGCGTTTCGCCCACAAAATATGCAGTCAATTCACTCTACAGTCTGTTCTGTGAAGCGCTTTGAGACGCCTAGAAGACGTGAAAAGCGCTATATCAAATGCAAGGATTATTACTGTTATTATTATTTATACAGTGCCCCTCACGCAGGGTAACGTTCCCAGAGCGCTTGACAGTGGTGGTGCACGACGCCAGGGAGTTAGTGGGGGAGGTCTTCAGGCATGAACTGAAGATGGGGAAGGAAAGGGCAAGTCTCGAGTTTCAGGAAGTAGTGGCTGAAAGGGTGGCCACCGATGGTGTAACGAGGGCATGGGGGATGTGCAGAAGCCCGGAGCCAGTCGTGCCGGGGCATGAAGGGATTTGAAAACGAGTGCAAGGATATGGATATAGTTAAGGGTTTGCACCCGAGCTGGGGGTTGGAATCAAGAGGGTAATTACTTATTAATAATAAGTCATTAGTTACTCAAAAGGGCTATCATAGAATCATACAGAACAGAAGAGGGCCGTTTGGCCCATCCGTGCCTAATCAACGACTGGATAAGAGGTGGCCAGGAAGGGTGGTTGAGGTTAGGAGACTGGGATCTGTTTTAAAAGCAGCTTAATGCTAAAGCATTCCAAGACACCACCCCGCCTGAATAAGGCAAATATAAATGCAAGTTGTTTGAGGGGAGGGGTCAGGGGAAGGATGAGATTGGGTGCGCTTCAGCCAAACAAAGCTTGCGACCTTGTTTGCATATGATGTTGATGAAGTAATTTGCTGTCAGAGGAAATGATCCTGTGTTTTCTAGGCAGGTTGCGCTCCCAACAACAATGTGCATTATATAGTGCGCTTAGCATAATGGTTTGCAGTGCTGTTTCTACAAAGCTTTGAAGTGGATGACCATTTTATCTGGAGATTTATTGGCCTGTGACAAACTGCTTTCTGAATAGGGCCTGGGATCTTTAAAGTTCATCTGAACAGGCAGAAAAATGAATACATCAATCATTATTTTAGTCAACACGGTAAAAGCATTTTCAATCAGGAATATCCTAGGGGCACAGACTTATTTTGGTGTAGATTTTCCTGAGGAGCAGCCAGTTCAGCATCTGCAGTCTTCATGTCTGTTCCCATATAATGAATTAGTAAGGCATTTCACCATACAGAAAGTACAATCGATCCAATTCTCTTTTCACCGAATAACCACCAAGATCAATTGAAAGGAATCAGGAGCCCATCTCCATTGGTCTGCAGTGGCAATTTTTGCACTGCATTACTGGCTGAGAACATTCAAAAACCCAGATCGAACCTGGGACCTTTCTAGACATTATGACTTAGTTTCACACAGGACATTTCCTTTAACAACAGAGCTACTGTATCAGGAAGAGCTCTCGATCAAGTTTTTTAAAAGCATGGTCTAGTATGTGGATCTGGACATACAACTGATGTTTCCTAACAAATAAAAAACATATAGAGGCATAACTAATCATTCATTAGTTATTGCCGCTGGTGAAGTGAGCTGTCGGATCACTTTTCTTTGATTTTCTACAAAGCACAACTTCTTACCCCTCCGTGATTGCAGAGCACATGTGTTCTCCAGAGTGAGAAGATTTCCCCCTCATACTTGCTCTTTAACCCTTAGACTGCCTATAGGTCAATAGAGACTACTGGTTTGGAGCCAACTGATTCTGTACATTTTTTGCTTATGTATTAAAATGTTGTTCCTCCCCTCCCATGTTACACCAATAAAGCTTCCCAAATACCATTAATGTAATATTAACCACAGTCTGGTAAAATAATTCCAAAACACATTTTAATAAAAATGAAACATTTTATGTTGTGTTTACATGTTGAAAGTAAAGTCATTTTGTTTTGGCCTTGCTCCCTCCTACCTCTCCGACCTACTATCCCCCTACTTACCTGCCTGCACCCTCCATTCCTCTGGCTCCGGTCTGCTCCACATCCCCCGCCCCAACCGCCCTATCATCGGTGGCCAGGCCTTCAGCCTCTCAGCCCCTAAGCTCTGGAACTCCATCCCCCAGTGCCTTCGCCTCGCTTCCTCCCGCTTCCTCCCTCCTCCTTGCATTTGATATAGCGCTTTTCACATCTTCTAGATGTCTCAAAGTGCTTCACAGAATATACTGTACAGTGAATTGACTATATTTGTGGGCGAAATGCGGCAGCCAATTGCGCACACCAGTGTCTCACAAACAGTCGTGGATTGAAAATGACCAATTTATTATTGTTTTTGTTTTATGGAGCGATTATTATTAGGCGTGTGGAGTAGGGAAACTTGCCCAAGGTTTCGCCCTGTTCGGAATTGAACTCAGGTGTCTCGCTTGCAAGGCGAGTGCTCTAACCACTGAGCTAAGGACCCCTTCACCTTAGGGGGTGTCCCACGCGCCTCACAGGATTTATTGCAAAATCAAATGTTATAATGTACTTGTATTTGATATAGCTCCTTCTCACGTCTTTGAGATGTCTCAAAGTGCTTCACAGAATACACTGTAAAGTGAAATGACTGTATATTTTGTGGGCGAAATATATACTAATGTACTGTTTCACCAAAGCAGTGACAATTTAAGAAACATGCAGCCTTTGCCGCCTTCTCAACCGTCAAGAGACTGGTCACTTCTTGAATTGGATTATTTCGACATTCGAGATACACGGTGAATAACTTGCGAACGTATCGCCTTCCGATGTTAAATCAGCCGAACGGCACCGTAAAATATCTTTTCTTCTGATCGTAGTGTTTGCGTGTTAGAAAAGAAAACGGAACAAGTCGCAGGAAAGGAGCCCCGAAGCTCGAGTCCTCAAAGGCGTCGGCGAGCGCTCTCGGCCACCGGCTCCAAATGACCTCTTCCGAATTGAGCCCAACATTTTCTCCTGGGCGGACCCAACGCGCGTGTGCGGAAGACGGGCGCTCGGAGAAAGGGGCGGTCCTGCCCCGGGAATCGTTGCAGTGCGTGGCGCCGCCCCTCACGTCACGTCACGGCGCGGCGCGACGCGACGCGACGTGACGTGCCGACGCTCTGCGCTGTCTCAGTGATTGGCAGTGCAGCTCCATGGGCTGCACCAGGACACGCCATCGCCATCACCATCGCGTGTTTTAACACAGACTTCTTCAGCGCCGGGATTGCACAGAATGTAACAGTGATTTTTTTTTCGAGGATCTCTTTCTTTTTGGTAAGTATTCGTGATTATTTTTTTTTAACCCCCCCCCTCCCCCAGAAAAAAAAATTGCAGCTTTATTTGGTCCTGTGTGTGTGTGTTGTGTGTGTTTTTCTCTCTCTCTCTCTCTCTGGGATGAGGAGTGGACCGCAGACGGTTTTAAAATGATGGACTTGTCAATGTGCCACAACATCACTGATGTATAACTGTATAATAGGTTCGGAACCGAGGGGAGGGATCCTGGATGTAAAAAAGACCGAACGAACGCCCGCAAACAGGTCCTTTCTGTCAACCTCCCGCGAGAAAAAAAAACATACGAGTGGTCAGTAGTATATTTGGTGATACATCACATTTTAAATGTTTCACACAAGTAAATGAGTTACGATTTTTAATTTTCATATTATTTTTTTTGGGGGGTGGGTGTCCCCTTAGGTCAGTGCCAAGAGCACAACTGCGTTGGTGCACGAGTCAATCTGCCCGAAAGGAGCCGAATTTTGTTTCCTTGCACTCCCTCATTGAGGGTGAATTTAAGCACATCCTCAGCTGTGTTTCAAGCAGTGTTCACCAGACAGAAAAATAACGTCCGCTGCCATACAGCGTTCAAATAACAATCGTCATCAACGCATAAATAAAACACTTCCTTAGCCCTGTTTTTATTCCAGCCCCTGTTAATTCATACGCAGCTTGAAATCGAAATGATTTCAGAATTTGTACTTAAGACTCAGAACATGCAGCTGGTGTTACAGTGTTTATGCCATTGTAATATGGACACTGGTTTTATCTTTTTCGCAGAAGACTGATGTGTTTCTTGTGTTTCTTATCGTCCTGTTCAGTTCAGCTTCTTTTGATGCTCTCTAAGGTTGATTTGGGATTTTTTTTAAAATTCTGGTTCAAAGTATTATTTTTTGATAATTTAACGCAGTTCAGTTATGATCTGCAATAGTTTTGCAGATGTAATCCTTCGGGGAAAACAGCTACACTTTGTTGACCTTATTTGCTGTGCTGTTCCCGAAAGGGACTTCAAAAGGGACTAAAAATCTAAAAATAATTTAGGAAGCATCTGAAAATCGAAAATGAAATAACATTCAGTAGCTGAAGCTTGTATTCCAGAAGTTGATCACCTATAGTAATCAGAATTTATGTCAGAGGTGATAGAAAAATCAAAAATGGATAACACTGCAGTGCAATAACACTGTATAATATTAATAATAATAATAATAATCCTTGCATTTGATATAGCGCTTTTCACGTCGGGAGGACATCCCAAAGCGCTTCACAGAACACACTGTAAAGTGAATTGACTGTATATTTATGGGCGAACGTGGCAGCCAATTGCGCACAGCAATATCCCACAAACAGTCATGGATTGAAAATGACCAATTTATTATTGTTTTTTTTGGTTTTTGGAGGGATTATTATTAGGCGTGTGGAGTAAGGAAACTTGCCCAAGGTTTCGCCCTGACCTGCCTGGAATATAATGTCACAATACCTGTTCTCGACAACAGTGTGACTCAGGTAACTCAGAAATAGGTAACTCATAACGAGAAAACAGCTTATATTGTTTACCTGTACAATATAAAAATATGTGATGTGGATTACTGTAGTTGGATATAGAGAGTTTACAGAGCAAAGTAATGACATCTGAATAAAGATAGTACATAGTCAAAAGCCATAGGCATAAATTATGTGGCTGCATCACTAGTACTTATTTTCTGAAATTCACCACTATGTTGAACAACTTTCTGCTTTTTCTGTCATTGGTTTGGTTTGAAGCATTTATAGGGATAAAGAAGAACCAGGATAGAGAAACACCATGAAGAGTGAGACACCACTCTAAAGAGGGGAAGGCATAAAGTTGGGGCACCACAGCATTTGCAGTGATATTTGAAATTGGTTCCAGTATTACATACGATACATGAAACCTGTAACCACTATCGGTGAACCCGCATTAGCAATATAAACCCATTTCACTCATGAGTAAAATCTTTAACAATCCATTTGTGACAAAGGTCTTTTTTACTTTCAGAACAAACTCTATGGTACTGTTCTCATTGTACATTCCTTTATTGTATCACTCATAAGTTTAAATCAAGGTTTACTGGATCACTTGATACTAAAAGTATCATTGAGGCAAAGAGTAAAGGGGGAGATTAGGAAGAATTTTGTTATCCAAAAAATTGTTAGGATATGGAGGGCCATACCAGATATGATGGTGAAAGTAGAATCCATATTACTTCAGCATACAACAATTTGCATACTATTTGCAAATGTATTTGTGCGTTTTGCTCTGAAATGGGTTATTGCAAAGGCGATAGATAAATTAATGGTGACATTTACAGTGCTGCATTGTGAAAGAACTTGAGACGTGTTGTGCTGAGAAACAAATATAACCTTCAAGACCAACTATACATCCATGGTTCTATTAAAAGACTAAAAGTTTTTAATCTATATCCCTTATTACTTGTGCAGAAGGATGGGTGGCTCACATAACTGGCAAATGTTAAAGTGCATTTAGTAATCACCACTAAAATTCAATTATTAATGAATGCATTTTTTAAAAATAAAAGCATAAACGGAATCTAACCTTTTTTACTTAGAGGAGCAAAGACCATAATTTGCTTATGAATTTGTCGCTTGTGCATTATGTACTGTACTGTTTTCGCTCAGTTTTCTGTACTGTGAGATGGAAATGATGGTTCATGGATTTGTGCTGTGGGTTCTGTATTCTTGTCCTGCTGTGCATCAAGCCTGTCTTCCGTTAGTTGAACCCAAAACAGAATAGAGAGATCTCATGCCTGTGGGGAGGGAAAATAAGGAAATAATATGTTGCAAATTATATTAACTTTCATATGAACTGATGCTAGATATTTCTGATTGGAAAATACTTAATATATATCATTTTAAAATTTCACTTTCTTTTCAACTCTCAACATTTCAGAACAGAAGCTTTCCAAATTGTTCAAGAACATTTCTGTTCTACAGGTTTCAGGTACTGTACTGTACTCACAAAGTTGCAGAAAGGAATTATTTTCAAAATGTGTGCTTTTGTTGAGAAGTTAACAGCTGTGTGCTATCATTGAACAGGTTTTTGAAAGGCGCTGGCACTAAAAGGGCAGAACCCATGGAGGTTCTCACGTTCACACCGCCATTGTACAAACAGAGATACCAGATTGTATTAGAGCTTGTTGAAAAATTTAAAGCAAAGAAGGTAAGTGGAAATTTGGTTTATAGGATTTATAGGATGTGATGTGTACGTTTTTAGGCAGCATGTGCTCAGCCTGGGTTAATTTACAGCAGTGGCCTTGAGGATTATCAGAATATTGAATGGATTGCCAGGGGTGGCTGTTGAAGTGGAGTCAATTTGGGCATTTAAAATAGAATTAGATAAGCACGTGCAGAAGAAGGGTACTTGAGGGCTCAGGGAAAGAGCATGGAATTGGATTAAGATTAGATGTCTGTTTGAAAGATCAAATACAGGCATTAATATAGTTGGTCAAGTGACCCAATGGTCTCCAACGGCATCATAGATTTCTATGGTTCTATAGCATTTGGTGGCAGGGTCGTAGACTGCCGGAAATAAACCATAAATATAAAAAATAAATATGTCCTCCCTGAATGTGGTTGTGAAGCTGTAACTTGCTATAGCCTGTCTTCTCCAATACTCATAGCAACAAACAGAGGATAAGTGAAGGAGTAAGATTGGCTCCTGCTCACTGCTATAAATACCAGAAATAAAATGAATAAATCAAATCCGCAGTGATCAAAAACATGATAAAAACAAACTCAGCACTGTTTTTCAGCTGGTTTCCTGTCCTTACACCACTATTGCAGTAATTTAACACTGCTTACCAAAATTATAGCTCTTTTTGATTGTTTATATGTATGTACGTGTGTGGAGGAGAGGGAGGATGACTATTACTGTATTTAAAATTAGGATGCAACAGCAGGTTTTTGCATATTTTAATATAAAACTTTTTATAAATCTGGTTGTAAAGGCAAATTGCTGGTCTTTAGGTGAATTCTGTGTAATGTGCTGAACTGAATTCCATGCAAATTATCCGTAAAATGTGCATGACTCTGTCTTTAGAAGAGCAGTCTTCAGTTTGATATTTGGGGGCTTCGAATGATGTCAGCATTCTGGTAACATCTTACAACAACAATTTTCACTTATATAATACCCTCCATGCAGGGTAGCGTCTCAAAGCACTTAACCGTAGCGGAGCCTGACTTCGAGCCGGGGGTTGAGGTTGGGGAGGTGATCGGGAGGTGACGGTCAAAAGGGAAGATTTTCAGGCGGGACTTGAAAAGGGGTAGAGAAGGGCAAGGCGGAGGGATTGAAGGAGAGTCTTCCACAGTTTTGGGGTGTAGTGACTGAAAGCGCAACCTCCAATGTGGAGCGGAGGGTGTGAGGGACAAGCAGGAGGCTGGTGCCAGTAGAGCGGAGGCTCCGGGTGGTGGATTGGGGAGTGAGGAGGTCGGAGAGGTAGTGAATGGATTTGAACACAAGTGTGAGGATCTTGAAGTCGATCTGTTCGGTGATGGGGAGCCAGTGAAGCCTGGACAGAACTGGTGAGGTGGGGGTACGGAGTTCCGTTCAGGTAAGTATGTGGGCATCAGAGTTCTGAATGAGATGGATTTTTTGAATAGTGGAGCTGGGGAGACCGGCGAGGAGGGCATTTGAGTAATCCAGGTGGGAGGTGACAAACACATGCACAAGGGTTTCAGCTGCATTTGGGGTAGAGTATATGGTTGGAGACGGGCAATGTGGTGGAGGTGGATGAAGATGGCCCTGGTCAGGAACCGGATGTGGAGGAGGAAGGACAGCCGTGGGGCGAACCGGACGCCTAGATTGCGCACAGTTCGGTGCATCTGAGGGAGAGTCCAGGGAGGTTGAGGAGTTCAGATCCTCAAGAGTGAAGACATTCACAGGAGCCAAGGAGTAGAGCTTCCATTTTGTCCACATTCAGCTGCAGGAAGTTTGCACTCATCCAGGCCCTGATATCTGCCAGACAAGCTGATAGAACATCGGCGGACCTGGAGTCGGTACTGGAGGAGGCAAAGTAGATTTCTGTGTCATCCGCATATGTGAGAAAGTTTGCGCCATGTCTGCGGATGACATTGCCAAGAGGGATCATAAAGATGAGGAAAAAAAGGCCAAGGATGGAGCCCTGGGGTACCCCATAGGTGACCGGCGGGGGTGGGAGGAGAAACCATATGCCGAGATGAAGTGGAGACGGTTGGTTAAGCAGGACTTGTAAGTAGGACTTACTGGTGTCATTTGAAATGAAAGGCCTGGTATCATCAAGAATTGTTTGCTTTCAAGGAAGAAATTGCCAAGTTGTAACATCAGAGATTATAGCTGAAATGCAGGTCTTCTCCAGTCTTTAGGATGATTCCAGATATTTATATAAATGTTCGATATAGCTGTTTATATATGAAGATCACCCATTTAACTGGACAAAAATATTAACATCACTGAGTCTTATTTTCATCTTCAGTTGCATTGATATGATTAGTATGTTAACCACTTTGGTTGTTCCCATAATTATTAAACAACTTCTAATTATTAAAGGTCATCATATTATAATTAATAGTCATGGTAAGATTTTAAATTTAGAACATTGCAACTATATTTGCCATTGTCAGGTTTAGAAATATCTAAGGATTATTCCACATTAAAATAAAAAAAGCAGTAGAATCAGATATCCATTAGTTCATTTATGCAGACATAATTGTGTTTGTTTTATGAATGTTCTGCATCATTACTGACTTTGATGAGAATAAGAAGTGATATAGAGGATTACAGTACAGGACCATTCCAGCCCAATTTAACAATGGGTTCTTGGTTCTGTAGAATGTATTTAGATGTAGGCAGATTATTAATTAGAAATTATGCTTGATATTTTTAGGTAGTAGATTTGGGATGTGCTGAATGCACACTTCTATCAAGGCTGAAATTCTGCAATTGCATAGAAGTTCTTGCTGGAGTGGATACAGACTTGGATCTACTGAGGGAAAAAATGTAATGTACCTGAAAATTTTCAGCAGCGTTAGATTAGAAAATTAGTGCTGTTATTTGGACAATTGAAAAAAAATTAACCTGTCAACAAAATTGTTTAAAACATAATTTTCACCAATTATTTCAGATCCCCAATACTGCAACCTATACCTACGTAAGTTACTCTCAGGCCTGTGCTATTTGTGCTGATGATTGAGCGTCTTGTGTTTGTGCTCTTTCATTTTACCCCTTCCTCCTCAGAAATGCTTAGCCTTTGCTGAAGATCTAGCTTCCCTGAAATCGCGATTGAGTTTTTGAACTCAGCATGTGGGAAATTCTGTCTGCAAACTAACAATTCACAGCACACGAATTGTAGCACAAGTACCATCTTCAGCTTGTCACTCTGACCCACCAGAATGATGTACCCAGAACTTGGTGGGACCCACTTCTGATTAGAGTCAAGAGTTCCCGTTTGTGACTTGTGAACCCCTATTGTTTGATTCCAATTATAAATTGCAACATGTTAGATCCCATTATACATCCTATAAAAAAAATCTGATGGAATGACCTTGATAAATTAGCATTCAAGAGATTGTGTAATTCCCAAACTATTATTGATTAAAAAATAATAGACTTTAAAAAGTAGCAAATGTTATATTTTGCATCTGATGCTAAAGTACTGTTATGCTCTTCAAAGGGTGAATGACATAGTCATTTTGCACTTGTGTTCTGTGACAGGTACCGGTTGTCACCTCTGCCTTGTGAGTATTTGCAGCCAAGGGGATCTCCATTAACAGTGAGATTGTATCAAGGATCAGTGGCTGTGAAGGATCCCTATATGCTGGACTTTGACTTTGTTTCTTGCATTGAATTGTACGTATTTATAGAAACAAAAACGTTTAGCAATCATGCTGACTAATAAACCTTGATTATACCATATCAATTATTTAAAATTTTCTTCAAAATGTAGTGAGAGAGAGTTCAAGGCAGTGATACAGTCTTTAAGTTCACCTGAATATGAATACAATACTGAATACAGAATGTTTCTCTTGAGGGTTTCATTGTCTAAAGACAATGGACTATGAATTCCCTTGTATAAACAGAATAGACAGCAAAATATACTCTACATTAGGCAGCAAAATATACTTTCATAATATTAATTGTTTTTTACAAGGTTGTTTTACAATGCTTTGGGGGATTCTGTAAAAAATACTGTTAAGTAAAACAGATCCCAGTCTTTCAGTTTTCACTGTATGACACGTATAAATGTTTCAGACTGATTTTATACCTCCGCTTGTTTCCTTTTCAGGATAGAACATCTAGACCCACCAGTATTAGAGAAGTTTCCAGAGGTAGTGTTTGGTTACATGAATCCTGCTATAGTAGTAGTTAGTACCCCAAATGCCGATTTTAATCCTTTGCTTCCAGGCCTAATGGGTTTCCGACATTGGGACCATAGATTTGAATGGAGCAGAGAAGAGTTTCAAGCCTGGTAAGTGCACCGATTTTCTTTATCATCTACCATAAGTCTTTTTGTTTGAGGGAAAAAAAACATTTTATTTTCCCCTAACTAATGCTTGTGTTTTCAGCCCCAGTGAGTTCATGGAGATGTAGTCATAAGATGCCTTTAGTTTTTTTGGTAGGCCAATAGTAGCAATACTCTTCTCATGTTGTCTCTCACATTAATGACAGTTTTGTCCATTAGGTATTACTACTATGGGACATTGCAGTGCGCAAATTGACTGCCGAGTTCGCCCACAAATACAGTCACTCGACTTCATAGTAAATCCTGTGAAGCAATTTGGGATGTCCTCCCAGCGCTACGCTAAACGCAAGGATTATTATTATTGTTGTTCAGATAGATAGGCACCAAGAGCATTTTTAATATTGTTACCAAGCTGCCCCAAAACAGGCAGGTGATATTAACCGTGTTTGATACATATGCATTTTACTGCCATAATGCTAATATTAAACTGTATAATATGATTTGAAGACTATTGATATTGAAACAAATATGGTAAAGTGTAGGGTGTAAGGTTTCCCTGTTGAAATCCTCATCTTCACTGTACCACTGGGAAGTTCCAGATGAAAAAAACATGTTTATCCAGAGAGAAAGGACAAATTAGATATCGAATTATCTCAGGTCTCTTTCACAAACCTTATCAGCAAGTGCTTGTGATGATCAGAGCTGCTTTGTCCCAGAAATTTGTTCAAAGGAACAGTTTTGTTCAACTAGAATTTGATACACAGTAGGTAATTATTGAGTGAATAAACTATTGTGTATTTAAATGATTAATATTTACTTATAAATGGATTTTTAAAATGTGAAGTGATGCAACCTTTGGAAATTAAGTACCAATGTATAAGTCTATGTTGTTCTGATTTAGGTCATTAGATGCAGCCAACAAATATGGTTACACAGTAGAGTTTACTGGTGTTGGAAGAGGACCCCCTGGTACAGAGAGGCTGGGATATTGCACTCAAATAGCTACATTTCTGAGAAACTTTCCTAAGTCTATGCTGCCAGCTGAAACTAAAAATGCAGAGCGATCATACAAACTGGTGGGTGTGCACATTTAATGAAATTGTGAGACATTGAGCAATCAAGCTTTAAATTCTCGTATCTAATTTGAATTCATTTTGGAGGTGATGCATCATACAAACATTTCAACGATCAGGATATTTTTCTGAATGCAGTAATATGCTTTGTTAAGCAGCATGCTTTTATCTTTAGAAATGTTTTTAAAATAAGTCATTGACCATAAAGAGTGAAAACCTGTATTTTCTAATAGTGAAAACGACTCTTCCCCCTCACTTGTTTGGTAAAAGAAGTCACAGTAATTCTACATATCAGCAGGGTTTAAAAAGTGAACAGCTGTACTGTTTTTCTTTTTCTTTCAAGGTATATGAGGTTGTTTACCCTAGTCTGAAGGATAAGAAAATCTTGCATGATATTCTGCTCAACGAAATCATCTTTACAGCTGAAACTTTAAGAAAACGCCTAATGGACAACTGCCAAGACAGTCAAAGTAAAGTAGAGAATTGCAAACAAAAAGAGCATGAATATTTGCAATCTGAAGCTGGTGGTGAATTTTCAGCAACTAATTTCAGGGCTAAAGAAAATGTGGCAATGGAAGTGTACAGAGTTGGTGACAGTATTCACATTCCATTGACAAAACTATTCTCCATTCCTAAAGTACAGCAGCTTATTGGATCCCTCCAACAATTACAGGAAATACTCAAGGCTACTGACCGTATTGCTCTCAACTCCAGTGGTTCTGCAGTTGTCTATCCAATATATTACCATGAGAGTAATACTGAAGTTGACTGTGATGAAGACTAATAATTTAAACAGCATTTCAGAGCCAATTGAGTAGCAGCCATGAAAAGACAAGAATACAATGAAAATATAGTAGAATAAAGGCGCAAAGAATCCAGGCATGTATTCACACATATGCACAATAGAAGGTGCCCAGAGAAATACAGACGGTTGTGAATATAGGTCTTTTCAAATAAGTGTGACATGTTTGTCAGTAATGTAGTGTTTACCAGTTTGTTTTGAAGCGGTCATGTCAGAATATATATATAAAATATATATACATAACTATACTGTATTGCCATCATATAGCTTTCAGTTACAACACTTGGTTATAAAGCTACCAGACCTTGGCTGCATCCTTATTGTGTTGTATTTTGTGCTGCTTTGCATTTCCAAGTGAAGTTTACAATGAAGATGAACTTATAAAGATATAAATAGGAAATATATGATGCATTGCTGCTAGAGTATACCGAGAAGTCACTCCAGATTTATTCAGATCTCTGTTCAGAATTGGATTGTTGAAAAGATTTTAGAGGATCTGTTAAAATCCTAGTAATAGAGGAGAAAATGACTGGGTTTATTTCACAGTACATGGGGAGAATAGCAGTGGGAATTAGCCTGCAGAACAGTATGCTTTTGAGTTTTTATTACTAAAGCCTTGGGACGTCCTTCTGACATGAAAGGCACTATACAAATGTAATTTTGTATTGTATTCTTTCCTTTCTCTCTTGTTTCTATTACCATTCCCCTTTCATCACTTTAGTTTTGCAGATTTCAACATCGCCTCTAATTGGTGTCTCCTATGACGAAATGACTAATCCTGCATTTCTCAAATCTGAATTGGTATTGTGTTAGGGAGAAAGATTCTTTTTAACCTCCTTAAAGTTTGAATAATTAAAGAGCTGGAGAAATTAAGACTTTAGAAATTGACAAATACATCATATTCTGTGAAGCACTTTGAGACATCTCAAAGTGATGCGATAAGGCGTTATAGCAAATGGAAGGATTATTATTATAGTCCATTTTGCAAACTGGCATTTTGTGTTTGGAGTTTAATGATCTGAGAAATACTTTAATGGAATAGTGAAAACATGCTGAGGTTAAAGATGGGTTTTACTTGAATATTTCTGACAAAGTACATATACCATTCACTGCATTTATTTTGAATTATTTTGATATTTTAGGTGAATGCACTGAAGTTCAGTATATGGTTCCAGTTCTTTCCAGTAGCCTGAAACACTTTTGTGTTTGCAGAAAACTTAGGAAGAAATTGCTTATATTTTTGACACAGCTTATCAGCTACGGGGAAAACCTATAAACCTCAGTAAGTTATTTTTACTTATGTAAAAGGTAAGACGTAGATGTCCTATAAATCTTTGTGTTTCATAACTGTAAAGATGTATTACTTTCATTCAGCTAGGTGTCTGTTCACATCAATAAAGGTTTACTTAACCCAGTTTTAAGCCCTGTAAATATAAACAATCTTCAGCCATTTATCACAGCATTCTACAAATAGTTTGAAGTTTGATTTGAGGTTCAAGGTTTTGAACTTGTAACCTGCCCGAATTAATCTGCTGCACCTTACTCCCAAAATATTGCTGCCATGGGAAGAACAAAGACCCGCTGATGACTTCCTAGACGATTTACCCAGAACCTATAACTAGCTGGTACAAACGCACTGAAAAAAAACTGGAAGCAGGCTAGCCAATTACCCTAGTTTCAGCATCCTCAAAGATGGAAGAAGAAAAAAAGGGGCTCCTCTACCTTATCTATTGCTCCCTAAGGGAAGTGTGTGAGGCACTGAACACGTGAAGACTTGGTATTGGTAGTACTGGTTTTGGCTTCCGATATTTGAATAATCTCAGCATTAATTGTTACATTCAGGAGGAGGAATAATGGGAGAAAACCTGAGCAGGAAATTTGTCCCACCTCGATTGTAACTTTGCAGGTTGCAACATATAGGGGTTCAGTTTAACAATTGGAAAGCCAATGGAAATGCAATTGTTATTGGGGCTTCTGAGTGACTTGGAAGAAAATCTTGAACTCCTGTAAAGGAAAATAATTGATGCTCTGAATATAACATTTATTTCTGAATCGATCATAGCATTTTAGTACAAAATAGTGGTTTCTACAATAAATACAATTGTGAAATCAAATTATTCACAAAAGGCAGCAGGGGGTGCTGTTGTAACATTTGTATATTAAACATTTATTTGCTCTTTTTCCACAGCAACTAATTCTATGTATTTTATAATTTATGAAAATGTTTATATAAGCTAAATTTGTTTACAAGGTTGAAGAAAAAAACTAAACAGTTTTAGAGAAATGTACTACTTGTTAAGCCATTAATGTTTAATTTGATTCACAACTATGTGACCTGAGTCTTAAGTTATACAATATGGAACTAATCTTCAAGCAAAGAGAGTGTTGTACATCAGCATTGAGCTCTGTATCCAATAAACGTGTGCTGTATTTTGCAGCGGCATCATCTTTTCTTGAAAAGTAAAATGTGAACAGGTTTGAAAAGATTGGATCAGAATGTTTTGAAATCCAATGCTTCAATTCCAACACTAATAATAATTTTATATGCACTGATGGACAAAACACCGAGTATGGTTTAAAAAAATATTTATTAACTTAACAAAACACATCACAGATGTGCCCAAGCATTCATTCAGTTTTCATATTTTAACTTAAAAACATAAGGCAATTCTAAGGACATTACAGTTTAAAAATTAGAACAACGAATCCATTATGTAGCTATATATGCAGATGCTTTACAAACTGATATTTATTTTGAAATACTGGCATTAAATATAGATTATACAGAGTGACCACTGACTTCAAGGTTTTTAGTATGAATGCATTCAAACTTGAAGATGCAAGAACAAGGCCATCTGAAGTCAATGTGTGCAGTTATACATCACTTTCACTGTAACAATGTCAACATAATTACAAACAACTCTTGGTTACCACTTATGTGATGTAATCAGTAATTAAACGTTGAAACTAGCCCAATACTTTTAACAATGAAGTTCATTCTCTCCACAAGTATACATTGTAGTTAGTCACTTCATGTACTGAATAAATATCCATACACTGATGTATTTCTATACATTATCAGGTGACAAATATCTAAACAAAAAAGACATCTTAACATCACCATTGGTTGTGTACATGATAATTCAGCACTAATAATATTTTTATTTTGGGAGTGGAACAGCTATGTAGCCCACAGATATAAAAGTTACTCAAGTCTTTTCAGTAGTTAAATGATAATTAATGGCTATCAACAAGGCAGTAATTAAAATCAAGTGGTCTGATCTTGTACCACAAGAGTGAAGCTCCAGACTTACAAAAACCTAAGAAATAAGATACCTTTAACTCATTGCCAGCAATAAGTTAGTTCTAGCATGCTTCAAAGTGTCGTTACCATTAATGTTGGCGGATATTAAGTGCAACAGCCATGGCATGATATAGATGCAAAGAGAAAGAACAAAATGACACTGAAATTAGCTAGTAGAAGGAAATTGGTACTACAATATTTCAAATCGTTTTACAGCATAGAAAGTAGAAAAAAAATATTTAACATCTTACATTGTTGAGCTTATATATGCTATTGTGTTGAAATGGAACTCTGAAATAGAAGTGAGCGTAGCGGTTTAACAGTGTCCTAATTTTAAAATGTGTGTTTCAGATTTTACTGATCTGCATCACACATGTACATTTTGTTTCTGAAACTTCCCTTTCTACTCTTGGATACCAATTAGAATTCATTTCACAATCTATGACACAGCCAAAATATAGCTTCGGTACTCAATTTGACCTAGTCCACCTTAAATAAACCAGTAAATCAGCAATCCACAAAGACAGGTGAACTCCACACTTAGGATCTGCCCAAAAAAATGTATACATTGTTTAATGGGGGATAGTGGGGGGAAAAAAAATCTTGGTATGCCTTTTATTGTGAGTACATAAAGATAAATGTTAAATCATTTAAATGCTAAACTCACTATAATGACCCAACCCTGATTGATGAACATAAATGAGTTATTTCCTTTCAACATAAGGACTGGGCCAATGGTTTGTTGTTCTAAATCATAAACTTGAGAATAAAGGCACCAACCTAACCCCCTGCTTATGAAAGAAAATGAGAACTTCACTCAAAGGAAATTAATCTTCAAAACACAAGGGAATTGTGTACATTTTAAAATAAATATTTACTGGTGACAGTAAGGTCTCCAAATCTCTGTTTGCCCAAATAGTATTATTGCACGTTGCCATTGATAATTAAATGAAAATGAACTATAGACCATTTCAGATAGGGGTTCATATGGGGGAAAAAAATCACTCAATTCCAAGCTAGCGTAGGTAAAATAGAGCTGACCTCTACCGTCCTCTGAATAATTTCAGGTGGCTACAGGTATACCCAGGTATACCCAACATGATGATGCATCAATTCAAAATGTCATTAAGGTGGAACATTTATGCAATGGGAACTATACACTGCATTAGTACTATGAAGAGTTGCCCATCAGAGACACAAATAGTGTATACTGTCACCCAGACCCTATCACTCAATAAATGCAACTTGTTGAGTAGCGGAGAAGGCTTATGATTGAAAAATACAGTAAGTTTGGTTAAAAAAATGCTAGCCAGCATTTACAGTGTCCCTGATCGATAATACATCAAAAAGAATTCATGGAAAGGTGCATTAGAAACAGAGTGTGGCAGCTTTAAGTTGCAACAAACTGAATGCCTCGTCACACAATTATTGATTAACGTACATTGCACAAGCCTTCACAAAACATCCAACCAGTGAATATTTCAGCCTTATTCAACTAATCTGTCAATAAAAAAGCGCAAGAATTCTGTTTGCTGTATGAACTAACATTTGATGAAACTGACATGTTCTTGACTATTGGCAAGTAAAGACTTTGCTTGTAAAATTGAATTCTGGAATTGCCAACTACTGTAGGTTGGATTGTTCCACATTTGACAACCTCTACAATTGCATTTTATATAAAATAAACTACCACATGCATGCCCAACATTAAACTGTAATCTATATTTTCATTTAGAGTATTTGTGACAATCACAGAGCAATAAATCTATACTCTATCCTGAAAAACATACAGTCAAAATATCCATTGTGTGTTAATGATCTGAAGATATCTTAGGCCATAGTAAACATTGGGCACATTAATGAGATCCACACAACCGGATTTATATCCTGAGTGAATTAGTCCAATAATTTGTGATGGCCAGGTTTGCAAGTGAGTTAATGGCCAATGATACAAATGGGATAGAGTTTTCATAATGTGTTCTGTCTGCATCACATTTTAATAATATTCTGGCAATGAACCAGACAAAGTTAATTCAGTAAATAATTTTTTAAAAAAAGGAGTAAGTTTTTTAAAAAATTGGTTCAGGGTAATGTAGGCATTACAAGTGGTAATTAATTAACTGTGATGTGAAATGGGCTTGGAATGGTTGACAAGTGAATTTTCAGAGGAAAAAATAAGTCCAATATGATTTAATCTCTATGAAATACCAGATTGAATGGTTTATAGAATTGAAGGTCAGTTTAGCTACAAGTAGGCCTTGAATTGTTGAACAGAATCAGTTATTGCTTATGGACCTTGGGCTTGTAAGCTGATTGGAAAAAACATGTCTCTGACAACTATGATCTCACAGTTTTTTTAAAGCAAAATAGTAAGGTTACAAGTAAAAGTGCAAAGTATTTAAGAAAGTTCCTAAAACAATATTTACCAAAATTCTTTCAAAAAGATTAATTTCCTTCAGGACATCATCAACACACTGTATCATCTGAATTCTGCAAAGATATCCAGAATGTATGACCTATTCTCAATTTACAATAAATTAAGTGAATATTGGTTGAGGTCCTTTAAAACAGCACTGCAATACTACTGTGAAAATAAGCTGGGGCATGAGGAGTGTGTAAGTATTTGCTTATGAAAACAAATACTTTGATTCATTTCCATAAGATCTATTTTAGCAGTGCAGAAAATAGATTAAAAATGAAATGAATAGCTATTTGTTTGGTAGATAGTGTACACTCGACCAAAGCACAGGACCAATAAACTGTTCCTAATATTTGAACCAATTACTAAGATTTGGCAGACAAATCACATCAGTTTTGAGGAAATCTGGCCTAACTTTCAAAAATGTTGGAATGCAACATCTAAAGATGGAGAGAAAATTCTAATATTTCCACTTGTGTGTCTATATTCCTGGTTGTTTTCATTATGCTGAGGTCCTAAAATGCTAATTGGCACCATTAGAAATTGTTTATGTTCCTATCTAATTTGCAAAATTGGATTTAAATTTCACATCTACTGTATTATAATTCAGCATACAGTAACAAATGTCACCATCATAACACAGAATCGCTTTATATACAGAAAACCCCACAAATGTGTACATTATGGGGCTCCTCACATTACACACACACAATATTGAACTACATTATGTGTACAACATTCAGCCACATGGTAATAAAACGTGGCTGTTACTATTCCTGTTTTCTTCAACCTTTCTGGAACTGAACTGTCAGCTATATTTTAGAGAACAAAGACCGAAACTCCACTAGATCAATCTCAGTGATGTATCTTCGTAGATGGTTCTATGCATGTTCCAATGGACACTCATACATGTGATCATCGAGTAAGGTGCATTAATAAAATACTTTATTTCCCTAGCAATTTTCACTGTTAAAAACAATATTGGATTTATTCAAATTTTAAAGCTGGTCAACTCTATATTCTTGATATGCATAGCGAACCTATTCAGTTCCAGAATGTCTCAAGGAAACCAATCCTCTACTCTCTCTCAATCTCCCCTCTCCCAGCTGTTTAGAGTGAAGTCGGTCATACAAAGAGCATACAACAACGTCAATCATATGACCTGAAAACAGTACCTATAAAAAATGAAGCATAAATTTTCTTTGGACAGTAGTTTTATATCTACAAAAATCTGTTTCATTCATTTCTGAATAAAGCTAATTAATCTGATTGGCAGCATAAGTCCGTACTATTTGAATGAACGTCAGCCATTCCTCCAACATTGTAGCCTAGCGTTTGATCACCACTTGTTCATATGCACCAGCTCCCACTCTATAAAAAAACACATAGGAGATAAGAATTTAATGACTTTTCCTTAAGGAGTCCAAAATACTGTCAAATCTGATGCACAAGTTGCAAATTAATTTGTGGTTTTAGACAATCTAAATATTGGGGAGTAACTTATGAAATGCAACTCTGGATTTTAACTGAAACCACTTTTTAAAAAAAAACAAGCACAATTACAATCATTTTTTGCACAGCGTTTAGAATTCTTTGCAGAGAGCTCCAATGTAAGCTTTGCATTGAAAGTAGAGTCATTGTACGCTGCCTGCTCACCACAGGCATTTTCTCAGTTGACAGCAGAAAATCCCATTGTTCGCCTTTTTGTTCAGCAGCTGTCAAACAATTCTGGTCGGTTTTCTTTTGCTACTTCCCGCCTAACTGATTGTCGTTTCTTTTGTTTTTCAGAAACAAAGAGTATTGTTCACCCTTCTTCAAAACTTATTTGTAATTTATGTAGGAAAAAGAATATAAAACATTAAACCCTATACATTGAAGCATTTAACACAGCCCCTCTTGTTCCTTTCCCAAGAATACAGTACTTGTAAAAATATATTATGGATGTCCCCAGGAATGGATATTGGGTACTGGTATTGGGTTTAAAGTGTAGGATTTGTACACTTTAAAACTAATATTCCTCCTCATTCATGTAATTTTGTAATATTCAAGCTTGTGAGTTTTTGCACACAAAAACAGCCAGCCGTAAAAACTAAATTCTTACATTCTGTATAATCGAACAGATCAACACAATTCTTAACAATTGTGTAAAAATATAAGGCGAGGATGCAAAAGTCAGGTCCATTAAGTGAGGGGAAAAAAAAGGTTGAGAATAAACAAAAACTGGTATACAGTATATCTGGGATTTTGTTTACTATTCAACCAGATAAATCCAATTAAATGTAAACCCATTAAGAATCTAATAATTGTTAACCTTGATTTAAACCATTACCTTTTACCAAAACCTAATAAATCAATAAACCAAGACTTTGATGCTAAATATTTTCCTAAAAGCTCTGCTTGAATAAAAATGTACACCGCCGCTTTGTTAAAGAGATCACAAATACCACTCTATTGGTTTGAATGTTCTCGACCACCAGATGGCATAGCAAACTAATCATCTTCACATTAAGTGCAACAGCAGCACACCATATGAAGTGAAACAATGCAGTTAAGGGAAGAGTATTTTTTTACAAAGCGTTGATTCATTGTTTGTGCAAACAGTGCAAAATATTGCATCTGACATGGACAACATAAGAACATTTTACCCAATGTTTGGGGTCAGCAGCCTGCATCTAAAACTGCTTTCGCCCAGAAAACACACAGTCAAAACCACTTTAATGAACAATATCTGGATCAGTTTCACAGTATAAAATCTTACTGAGTAAAAGATACAGGTGAGAAATTCTGGAAACCCCAATTATACAAGGAGTTTCAAACTCTTTCCCTCCAATTTCCAATCTTCGTCCTGCCATCTATTTCCAGTGAAGTACTAGCTTTGGGATATTATGATAAAATCTAATATTCCAAAATGTCATTAAGACAAACTCCACCCTGGGTTTCATCTCTTATGTGTTGTGCTGAAGGTTAAACTTTTCAGCCATTTAGGATTTAACAGCCCCAGTTAGCCATGTTGTGAAAGAAACATTTTACCCAATGTTTGGGGTCAGCGACCTGCATCTAAAACTGCTTTCGCCCAAAAAATACATAGCCAAAACCACTTTAAAGTGAAGCACTTTTAGCGTCTCAGGCGCTGTATCAAATGCAATATTATTATTTATTATAATTATTATCCATATTAGAGGTGCCACAAATGTTTATTCTATGGTGACCTATTCCACTCAAAGCTCAATTTGCAAAATCTGATTTGAACTGTTGGTCACAATCGTGTTAGAATTTCATGGACTCTGCGCAACGTACGAAAACCATAGAACTCTTAGCTGTAATCCGTACCTGGTAGGTAAATGGTGACTTCCAAGTGCTGTGCTTCCACCAGGTCCAACAAAGAGTCTGAGTCCCTCTTCTGGAAGAGAACAATATCTGGATCAGTTTCACAGTATAAATTCTACAGGTTAAAATCTTACTAAGTAAAAGGTACAGGTGAGAAATTCTGGAATCCTCAATTATACAACGAATTTCAAACTCTTTCCCCCCCAGTTTAATGTACAGATATAGTAATTTTTGTACTTCTGTGGCCAGTTACTTTTTGTAAGCATTTTACCAAATATTCCAGTGAATGCACACGATGCCTTATTATGAAATTAAACAGTTTCAGCTTTGTTACATTATATTTGACATTATAAAAGTGCCACATAACAAATTGCTGTAAAGGTTTATTATTACATTCAATTCCCTCCATTTTCTACTAGTTTTTCAGCTTTCAGAGGTTTTTTTTGTTGGCCAGCCAGGTGGAAACCCATCACCGGGCTTAAGAGCATCGAAACCAAGGTGAGAATTCTATGCATCCCACCTACACATAGAAATTCCAGAGATAGATTGTTGATAGATTACCTAATTCTGGAAACTATTTAGGCACAGGTTGCCAAGAGCCAAGTGAAAATCTTTCAGAATTCTTTACTTGCAACTAAGAACGCACAAGTGAGCCATGCAAAAGTTTGTGGTTTTGCACTCCATTGATGTCTTAGACAACAGAAACATTGCCTGTTAGCCCGGAGCAGAAAGACATGACCGCGGGTCAAAATGTGTCACAAAATCAAGAGAAGAGAAATTCCACCTTGGTCATTTAGAGATTTTCTTTATCCTGGTAGCATTTTACAGCTTCCAGAATTTGGCAAATTCTTAAATATAGCATTCATTCTGAAAGCAGGTTTTCTATAAGTTTATTTTAAAACTACTTCAAAGTTAAGACTGAATTCATCAACTTGCCAAATTCCGGACACTCTAAAATGCTGCATAAAAAGAGCGAATCTAGACTTGGTGCAATTTCTGCCCCTCTTCTCCTCCCCACCCCCTTCACTCAACATTCATAAAATGCTCTCCATTTCCTTTCATTATAATTTTACCTTCCGTGCTTGAATCGAGCAGGCTTCCAGAAAAGTCTTGACTTTGCAAAAGTTCGTTAACAATGTCATCTGCATCAACTCTAGTAGCATCGACCCGTTTCAACTGAAACTCCACTGAATCCTGCTTTACAGGATGCCTAGAAACAAAAATCAATGCTAGAACCATTACCAGAAATGGAAACTGAAAAGGTTTCAGTTGGAAACAAAATCAAATACACCATGCATTTTCTGTGCAACAAATACGTTTGAGCAGAACCAATATTCTTACAATCATCACAATTTATATTAAAAGTATATCCTATACCAGTACAATATTAATGATGGAGTGACAATAAGAAAGACGTTTTTCAATTCATATTGGCACAGGGCTGATGTTACATTTGAAAAGATGGGTGAATAATTCGACCATGACCAGGTGATGATCAGTCAAGCAAACCTAATTTCCCAAGTCAGTTATTCACTTTAGGAACTAAGCTTGCATGAAAGCTATGTGCAAAGTCATTTATTTTCTTAAAATGTAAAGGCACTGGGTTTCAGTCATACTAATTTTCCTAACCATTCTACATGGCAATTGTTACTGGATGGCTAATCTGTATGAACAACATCTGAAAAAACAATCAAGTTTAATCAAACTAATCTTGGCTGAACTATAACAATTCTAGAGAAAACAAAATAAATTTAGCCGCATTTCTCAATTTTCCTGTTACAACACACCCATTTTCAAGAAAGGTTCTACAGAAAAGTAGTTAGCAGGGACACAGGTGCGTGCTAGACTGGTCTTTAACTAAAAAACATGCACTTGCTAGTAAATTACTGTTACTATAATCTTTTTTGAAAAAACAGGAGTGGTTGAGCAACTGTGGAATGTGGAGGTTTCGTGTTTCTATGGCACAAACTGCATACATAGCTCAGGGTGGAATTTCTCTCCACTGGAAGTATTTCTTTATACGGTGGGTGGTGGTGGTGGGGGGGTGCAATTAACAACTGGACAAGATACCAGAAGGTGGTTGAGGTCAGATAAAAAAAATTACTTGATGTTGTGATGGGAGAAAGGTAGGATGAGTATTCCGGAAGAATGAGATAAAATGGATTCAATGGACATCTTCATTCAAACTTCTCTTGTGATTTACCTGCTCAATTTCTCTGATGATGGAGCACTTGTCAATGATGTGGTAACACTAGTAACATTTGGTTCATCTGGATCACATCTCTCTGGAAGGCTTACAATTCCAGTTGATAAACTTCCCATAGACACGTTCCTTCTATGTCTTTGCTCAGAGAAGCTGGAAGATCTGGAATGACCTGTGCTGCTATAACCTTTGCAGAAAAACAATTAGAATTACTAATCTTGGGAGGGGTGGTGAAGCGACCTGCTACAGATAACAGATAGTGGGAATAAACAGTTCCAAATGGTATTTTGGCGATGACTTCAGCATAATGCATTATTTAATCCACCACCACTGGCAGTGGTTGCAGTGAGAACATATATATCCAGCTGTACTCCTGAAGAGTTCACTCCCAGCAGCTTGGCTTCGACTATCTATCAATTTCACACTGAAATGCAAAGTGATGCTGATAGTAAATGGGTGGTGGAGGAGAATAAAACAGGAAAGAAGAGATGAAGCAAATCAAGAACTCACTGTCAGAGGAAACAAAAAATAAACAGAAGAAAAAAATGCCAGAGTAAAGTAAAATAAAGAATTAGAAAAGTAGTTATCACTTAGTAGATCTTTTACTGCTCATTATAGCAACAGATGTCACTCCTGGTAAACATGAACACAACAAAATTTCATTTGCATAACCATACCAAAGTCAGACGTGGCAAGGCAAACATGGTAAAAATGGAAATTAAAATACAAAATGAATTACACAAGACAAGGAAAATAGCCTTCATGTTGAGCCTCAACAGAAAACAGAATTAAAAAACGCACAGAAGAATACATTCATTCTGTTTAATGGAAGATGTTAAAAATAATGAAAAGAAATGATAGTCAGTGTCTGAAATAACACCAATTAGTTTCAACATCGACCTACTAAAATGGAATGCTCTCATAATAGGCATAGCTTTTTGGTAAATTGACAATAAGCAGAAGGAGGGGATTTTTTTGGCTGGAGGGGAAGAAACTCAGATGACTGCAAATTAGACTAAAAGCTTTAGGAGGCATTATGACAGTGATCAGTTTGACAGTGATCAGTGACAGTGATATTATTATTTATAATATAAAAGTTATAATTTAAAATAATATCATTTCAAAAAATATCCAATCTGCAGTTTTGCCGATTATTGTGATGTACTAAAATATGTAGTCTAATATAACTTTACCTTATACCTCTAACTTATACGTTATACTTATACCCTTGAAGTGTCACAATGATAAATGGTTATATTTTAGAACTGCTTGCAAGAGTGAGAGAGAATACAGAAGCGAGACTTTCACAGCTTACAATAGGCAAGCTGTCACACTGACCTAGTTTACCAGATTCATTTGTTGCAACTCACATTTATAATTCTGTGTAGAATGACCCCCAAAAAGACAGCCAGAAAACCTGCAGATGTTCCATTAGCAGCAAACTGAAACCATTCATTTCATTGGGAAATATTCTTTTTTTTAAAAAAAACATGGAACAATGTTATACTTTATCACTTTTTTTCTCCTGCATAAATGTGAGAAATCTACATAGCATAGAAAAAACACCCTCGGAAATGATTCACTGTGTTAAACGTTTGCTTCCAAAGAGGAACTGGAATCATAGCAAAATGATTAGTCTTAAAGTCACGTTCCTAAGGAATACCAGCAGCACTTTTGGCATTACTGAGGCAGATTTATTTGTTCACAAATCACGTTACCCCGCAAAACACACAGTTACTGCACTTTCCACAGTATCCTGGGAAGCGATTCGAGACATCCTTGCAACATGAAAGACCCTATACTAAACGTAAATATTATTATTATCTTTAGCACATGAATGAGTACTATGTTTTGCCCACAAAATATGCAGTCAATTCACTTTACAGTATATCCTGTGAAGCGCTTTGAGACATCTCAAAGACGTGATAATAATAAAATAATAATCCTTGCTTTTGATATAGCGCTTTTCACGTCTTCTAGACGTCTCAAAGTGCTTCACAGAATATGCTGTAAAGTGAATTGACCGTATATTTGTGGGCGAAACGCATATATATATATATATGGCACTATATCGAATGCAAGGATTATTATTATTATATGTACAATTCAATTCTGTACCTGATGCTTTTGACTTCTGATTAGCATGACTGGATGTTCTGGTATGTCCACATGCCCCAAGCTCATCAGGAAGAGAGGTGCTCTTTACTGACAGATCTGTCAAAATCAAAGTTTAAAAAAAAATCAGCTGAACCTCCTGCTAGTAAAACTAATCTGGTCCATAATAGTTAAACCCAGAAAGTCATCCATTCCAAGGATCTTAATTAAGTGTGTCCCAATTACATTCATCTGAAACACAAAACATTGTAGCAGTTGGTTTAGCACAAAATAATGTTAGTACATCACAGGATGCCAGACTTGCAATGCTCTAAATCTCATCAATATATCAGTGCTTCTTTAAAGGCTGTTGTTCCACTTATCTGTTGTATTTTTGAACAATCTAGAATCTCTTAATTTAAAAAGGGTTTAACTATGTTAAATATGATCATTGCATATTGGCCTGCAATTCCCTCCACTGTTTACCTGTTCAATTCTGCTAGTAAAATACTGAACGGTATTAATAGAAAAACATATACCTGAGACACCAAGATGACTCTTTGAACAATCTCCACCTTTTCGATCTTCATGCAAGAATTCCGACTCACCGGTAATTACCATGGACGTTGCTGTAGATGGAGGTCTGTAAACAACAAAACCCACAGGTTACTTTGCATCGCTTCTCCTGCCTTTCAGCAAGTTAGTGGTTTCACATTCGATAGGTTTCGGCCTTGGTATCTCTAAATTGTCAAAAATGAATGTTGATCTTGAAAGACTGTTGGTTATATTCTCTGAGACGCTATCCCGAGTGAAGGGCGTTGTATAAATGCAAGTTGTTGTTATTGTTATACTGCAAATGTATCATTGTATTCAAGTGTGGAACGTCAGATTTCCTTTCAGTAGTTTCAAAAGCACGGCTATAATGAAACACAAGTGGCTTTAATATCAATGCAGAACAGCAACTTACATCCATTTAGAAAGTGCCAACTCAGTTCCTCGTGCAATATGATACAAACCAAAATGGATAGCTATTCATTTAAGCAACATTGCACATCCTCCAAAAGACTGCAATAGGAAGATCATCTATGCACATTATGTCCTCGGGAAATTAGAGTATTCAGCAATTCAGGGACATACTGACAGGACAGAATAGTACCATTACTGCACAACCACTCTGTGAGGTACTACATACTGAAACATAACAGAAATTAAGCCGCTATCCTCACATATTGGAAGGAATGCACCATTACTCTAGTACAACACTACTCACTTTGTACTTGTCCTAGCAAACAAAATAAGTGTTCTATTTTATTGCATTCCACCCCCTGAATTTTTAATTGATTCACATCGCAGGACTCGAAAGAACTAACTTTGTTAATTCTGGTGAGTGGGCACAGGAGATGGCAAAGGGAGTGTGGTTGGACAAATGTTTTAAACAGTTGCAAAAACAACCTGCAGGATTTTTCTCTTGCTCTGTTGTTAAAAAGTCACTACCTATTGTGGACTTAAGCACACAGATCAGAAAATTGCAGGCACAGTTCATAGTCAATGCTGAATAGCTAATCTCAGCTAGGCTAATTGGAGCACATTTGGACTAGAGGGAGGTAAATGCGTGTAAGTTCCCATTATCTTATGATTCCTGCTGGAAAGTCCACCACACATACTCACAGCTTTCTTCATTATGCTTACACTCCCACCACTTGCTAACTCAGGCTTGCTTTTCATGCCTTGTTCTGTCTGCAATCTGCAACCTTCTCTCTCTGGAACTATATTCTGAAATCTCTCCACTTTGCACCCTCCCTGCTTGTAACACTGCTGGATAAAAACCTCTGACTATGCTTCCTACCCCGCCATCTGCTTTGACTCCCACTCAGTCTCTGTGATCGGCAATCCATTACTAACAGTGTCCTGGAGTAGTGTGATCATGCCCTTCTCAGATATCAGACTACCACAGATGATTGACTGGATTCCAATCTTACATTGCCAGATGTGTCATTTTGGGGTCAAATCAGCCCCAAAGAGATCCCTGCTCTAACTGGTGACTAACCTCCCCAAGGAGGTTAGTCACCAGTTAGTCATTAGACACTTGGCAAGCACATGACACTTTAAGGATCTCTGCATCCCAATCAACAATTTAAAAAAAGGGTTTTAGGTGTAGCAGTCACACAGTATGAAAAATGATGACATGCCAGTAAATTGCAGGTGGATCTGTATTTTGACTGAAATCCTCATCAGTCAGTCACTACTTGTTTGGCTACATTCTTTAAAGCAACATAGTCCAGTATTTCTATCAGCAGCACTTCAAAACATAATTAATTGTTTATTAAAAATATTTATTTTATGATTTACAGTGAAGGACAATTGTCAATGTTTCCCAACATTTACCTTACCATCTTGCCACTGATCAAAATCTTGCATTAAATACCCAAATAATAGTAGTTGTAACTGGATTAAGTATCTGGATGGGATTTGATTTCCCACCTTTCCTGTATTAAAGAATATTATATAAAATCCTGACTGAAGTTACTCTGCAGTAACACATAGTTCCCAATGACATCAAGAGACTCTAAACCAGATAAGTTAAAACATGACTTACAAAACAGTTCCCTTCATGTCTCACTCAGCAAAAGCTAATTTGTGGTAATTTGATCCGGTTGGATACAAATGCTGCTTCCCTGAATCTTATACCAATTGCAACCAAGAGAAGGGGTGTGACTTGATGGATTCTTTTGATGTCATTGGGAATTACGTGTTGTTGCAGAGTAACCTCAGTTAGAATTTTATATTATATTCTTCAATATTGAGGTAGATAGATATTTGTTTGGTCAGGGTATTAAGGGATACGGGGCAAGAGCGGGTAATTGGATTTGAGGTACAGATCAGTCATTTATAGAATGGAGGAACATGCTTGAGGGGCTGAATGGCCTCCTCCCGTTTCTGTGACTCGCTCTCTTCACCAGTATTCCTAATGTGAACCACTAGGGAGCATGGGACATCACTCTCGTCAGTTCTTCCTCTTCCACTTTGCAGTAGACTCCTTGCATACACTGCTTTAGCTCACTCCCACCACTTGCTACAGGGATGTTCTTTTTCAGAGCCAACAGAGCACTCTTACGTATTCGCTCTTAATTATTTTTTAAAAATCTTTCAGATTGAAAACATTTCAAAAAAAATTAAAATCATTCAAAATCTACAGTACTGGCTCACAATGGGAAACTTTCATTTGAAAGGGTATTACTTATTTCTACAGCATATTTTAATAGGATTTTTGTCGAATTTCAGTCTGCACAGAGCTTGGTTCACACATTCTCTTTAAAGGGCACAGTTCGCAGCTTAGAATTCACCCTCAATCAAATCAATGAATGCTAGATAGAGTTACTTCGGAATTTATTATGTGGAATTCAGGTTCATGTTGCTCAACTCTACTGCGGCATAGAAACCACGTAGTGTACACCGCAAGGGAATCTGGCACAGGATCTGAAATGGCCATGTCTTGCAGTGCAACTAATTGCTCAGCTATTCTTCAGACTCAACCAAAAAGTAATACATTAATTAATTAACAAATATACTAAATTATTTTGATTTGGCCAATACTCAGCCACCCGTTTACAACTCTGTATTTATAATTTGGACATGGGAGCAAAAAAGATTCTGCTTGTATGTTAAAAAAAAATTGTTCCACTCAACAATATCCAGTTTTATTCTGGTTGTCAACAATATAATTACTGCATCACGCAGATCCCATATTTAACAGATATTTTGCTTTGAAAAGGCACTGAAGTCTAATAACCAAACAGAGGTTTAAAACAGAATGTGCTATTTTGCCAAGTCTACAGATTCACAGTGCAACATCAAATGAAGGTGAATGGGTGTAGCTTGAAACCCCCCCACCCATCCCATTTGAAGCCCATAACAACCAAATTAAAAGCTCTAGTGTGGTAACATGGTAGCTACAACACTCTCCCTGTAAATAATAGCTGTGTAGACACTCCTTTTCTACCACCCAGAAGGCCCACTCATGACGCATACCAGAAATATTGCAATTATGCTAAAACATGCTTCCAAGTTTATTTTACCAACAGCATACTGGTTACCAGGAAACTGTCCAAATCAGTGCATTAGTCACCACTTTTGAAGGAAACAAAAAGGAGAAACCCTCACCCGTTGCTCAATTGAATCCAATCTCTTTAGGATATTGCAACAGGTTTTGGATGTTGACAGCAAAACATCAACACAAAAGTCCTGCAGATACTGTACTAGTTTAAAATATTTTCATTTGCAAATGTATTAGCACCGTTTTAAAGCAACACATACAGCAAAAGGGGTTGGAAATGGAAAAAAATTACAGCAAATGTGTGTTAGACACTTTTTCCGCAAGTGCTAAAACTGGATTTGAAAAAGTTGTCCTTTTATTGTTTATTTCAATAACATAGTTGCCAGAAGCATTTGTAAACCATTTGATTTCCCTCCCCCCCAACCCACTCCCCCAACTATTATTCACAAGTTTAATGCCCACTTTGACACTATTATAAGAATCCTCCAGTGAATAAAATAACCAGAAAGTCTAGAAATCTTGTTGCCATGAAAACAATTAAACAAACAACCGCAGTCTCAATATTATTGTTTACTAATGATTTCAGCTTAGTTACAGGAATCAACTTCTCTTATTGATGTTTTTAACTCCTGATTTACTCTCCGTTATAGATTGTAGCATTCTACCCCTCTATTTACAATCTCAAAGCTATTCTTGATCTCCATCCGGCATCACCCTCCACTCAGCTAACAGTGGTCTGCTTCATGTCTTCTTCCCAATCAACCCCACCATCGGTGGGTGAGCTTTCAACTTCCCCTGCAGCTCTCTGGAACGCCATCCTGGAATCCCTCTGCCTCACCTCTTCCCTGCTCTCAGTTAAATCCCAAAAGACCTACACTATCTTTTCTACTGTGCCCGTCGTTAATTTTTTCTTGATTTACTATAAGTCACAAATTAAAAAAATTGTATTCCAATAAATCTATGTATGGAGTACCTGTTGTACTTATAGGTAATGAGCAATAAATCTTGCAACACAAGAAAGCATCAACTGAGCACCATACCGTGCACTGGCAATTAAAATCACTTGCACCCCCCGCCCCCCCCCCCCCCCACCCCCACTCAGGGAAGTTGGCAGAAGTCCTTTCATGCAAATTATTATTCAGAGATAATTCAGTAATTTAAGCCAAGATCAACCTACCAATGGTGTTTTAAAACAATTACTGTTGTAAAATAGTTGCAACAATATATGGTCATTACGAAAAATACATATGACAGGTCTAGCATCTAAATACTTGGGATCTAAAATTTTAGATAGAACATTAGTGTTAGAAACAGGCCAAGCAGCCCAATAAGCATGAGCCAATCTTTAAAACATTGCATGCACCTCCAGCCCTCCTATCCCCCCTCTCATACACTCCTCTATTCCCTTCACCCTCATGTATGAAACATTTTAAAAATTGGTGTATTCAATTTGCATGTGAAGTGGGTAAGCCAATTTATATCTGTATTAGGTTTGACTACGAGGGGGAAGTTGTGCTGCAACAGGTTCGGTAATCTTCAACCTTTGTCATCGATGTTCTGCAGTTGTAATTTTACTCCGATAGTTATAGCTTTCTGGCAACAACACTTGGTGACACATGGATCTCGTCATGACCAAGCACCACTGCGAGTCCCTTGATTTGCAAACCTAATAAACCTCGCAAGCCACTTGTGCCACACAATGACTATTTGAAGACTGGAATCCATAATCAGATTATCAAGGAAGAGGATAACTTGAGTCATAGATTCTCATTAACATTAATTTTCATAATCACATGCAGTTAATGATTGCTTTTGAAAACCACATTCTGATTTGTTAAAATGGTTCTCCTGACCCAATTTTTATAGTGCATTAAAACCATTTGATGTGTATATAAACAGATAAAGCGCAGGACTTATTCATTTATATCTGGAACAAACTTAGCCGTATTAAGAATTAAGAATTTTTCTTGAAACCCACTGCGGTGCCTTCTGAAGGCAAAGAACTTCAGATTAACAACATCTAAAATTGTTTACATGTAAACAAAATTCATAGAGATTCATTACATAGTAGCTTTTCTAAGAGTAGTTTCTATTTGCACCTTTCTTTTCATAATAAGGACATAAAGCATCTACAAAATAAATATTATAAGGAAAGAACAGAGTATAAATACAGATTCCATAAAACTCCAGGAAAACAGTTTGAAAATCTTACTGCATGCGTTGTATCAAAAAGGGTTTGAAATGAGCTCTAACACTGTCTCAGGCTTTGTTCATTTGGTTTTGACATTGAATCTCCTCAAAATGGGCAACGCACTAAAAACCAGCAACATAAAGCAAGCACAACATTTCATATGTACTATTGAAATTAATCAAGAACCAAAAGTTGCTTAGGGACATTCAGGGTTTTGTTGTGCAAAACTAAGATTTTTTTCCCCAAGGAGTTTTGGTTGAATACTGTTACACCTTACTACATTTATCTTGCCACTGCAGTACTGGGCTTGTCACTGTACCAAAATAATCTCTTACAAGAACACAACAGATAGTTTTCATTCAGCTATAAATTATACACCATTGAAATAAACAAACACTTTGATTGTTTGTGGGACACTGCTGTGCAAAAGTGGCTGCTGCATTTCGCTCACAAAACACACAGTCACTACACTTTGCAGTGTATCCTGTGATGCACTTTGAAACATCGAGAAGACATGATAAGGCGCTATATCAAATGCAAGGATTATTATTATTCGAGGCACAGAAAGGCTACAGATTGAAGTACAATGAGAACATTTAAAAATAACTGGGGACAAATAACACACAAACATTTAGAATTTTTAAAAATAGTTTAGTTTATCTAAATATAAAAACCTTTAACGAACAAACAGTTCTCACCAGTATTGTATCATTTGTGCTGGAAGCACACAAAGTTCCTGAAGTTTCAGCAATGAGAGACTATTTAACTGTAGTCTTTAACTATTAAGCTGAACTGAAATAAATTGCACTGGCTTACGTTTTGAAGCAAGGATCTCCCCACATAAGCTGCATGTTGATCACAACCTGCACCACGGGGACAAAAAGTTCATCGTTAATGAGATGCCTCATTGTATAACTAGTAATGTCTGTCTACTGCAATTCTTTTAAAGTGTTTGAAAAGGTCATCTCTGCTATAGTGTATCCTACATGGGCTATTTATTGGTCTATCAAATAAACTGCAAATAAAACTACAAAACATTAAAAAATCAATATTAGGTCAGCCAGTGCTTGAAAGAGAATGATAGGTTATGGTAATTGTGGGCAAGACTCTTCATCAACTGATAAAGAGTTGGACAATTGATTTAATAGATCATCTAAACAATTATTTAATAATTAAATAAATGGAATGTACTTGCTGCCTTCAATTCTGTTTGTTCCATGGGATTGGCAGCCAAGTAAAAGGGCAGCCTTTCAATAATGTTATCAGCTGCAATGTTCGTTTCACGTCATCACTTGTTGCTAGGAAATGGTGATTTCTCTCCTGACCTTTGATGCAGGGATCCCACACTAAGCTTGGTTAAAAATTGACTATTTCCACACACAAACATTGTGGTGTATGATTGATCAGTTGGTATCAAATTTGTTTGTTTTTTAAACCCCCTTATAAACTAGCATTTTGAATCTCACAGATTTGCACCGATCCTATCAACGGTCTCAAGAAAGTCACAGTCATGACAGATTGACAAAGATTAACAGACACTTCATTTAAGAGATAGATTACTACTGAGATAACCTATATCTGACTCACGGATATGACTGTCGTTTGAGGATACTTTACAAAAGGATTTTCCCAGATGCCAAACTCAAGCTATAGTGTTCTGGTCAGGCCGCACCTAGAAAACTGCATACATTTCTGGTCGCCGTGTATAGAGTGTGCTGAGCTCAAGTTCTCTCTCTTACCTTAAGAATGGAGTTGTCTTGTCTGGTGTTTTTAGTGTCATAGCCTTCTAGTAAGCAGCGTCGAGTGGTACTTCCAGAACCTGCAAACTCAGCCAGATTCAGATCTGCAAAGCCAAGCTGAAAAAGAAAGGAATTTACTACTGTATAATGGGGAAGAAACCAGAATACCCAAAATATTATTTGGCCAGTGAACCACATAGCTGAATAAAAATCGCACTGTGTACAGGGTGGCCTATTTTTGTAGCTGAAGTGCTGTTTAAAGACATTCATAGCAGTATGGTAAGCAGAAGTGAAGCAGAAGTGCACATTTGTCAGAATATTTGGAAGTTTGGAGCAGTAGTAAATATTTGATATAATTATTTTAGTCGTTAATATATCTTTTTCTTATCAAAGTATTATTAGTTGGAATATATCAAGATTATCATTTTTGCAAGTTCTATATAAACAAAGAAAAAATACTAAAAATTGGTAGTCTACCTTTGCGAATGCTTTTCCACCCTTCAGTTCCTGCAGACATAAATGTAGGTCATCATTATTTGCTTATTCAGCATAAAGCAGGAAAAATAAGACTGCAGGATAGTTACTTATCATTATTTAAAGCCATTTACATTTTTTTTGCTTGAAAAATACATGGAATAAAATTATTGAAGAGCAGTAATGACTTCAACTAACATTTCCCATAAGCTTTAGGCTATTCTTTCCTTTATAATATGCAATATCTTGAATATTGCATTGTGTTGCTATTTTCACCTGCTGCAAAGACATGCTCATATATGCAAACAGGCTAGCTGGCAAACAAAAAAGCTACCACACCAGAAAATATTAACATTTGACTTGACGTTAAAAACAATCAAGTTTCAAATCCAACACATAGTTGGTAGCATACCTTTCGCACTGACACTCGGCAGATACATGGGTCAAGGACACCTGTGGTGCCGTTTAAACTCAGTTTACATAAAAAGGAAAACTTCTTCCTCCAGCGCACACAATTTGCCAGCACCAGCTCCCTGCAAAGAGAGAAGACCCCTGTTAATGTTTCATGTCTGAGTTTCTTGTTCGTACCACTTTCAGTTTCCAAATTATCAAGTACAGTACATAGCAAGTAACAAAAACATTTAACAGAAGGTTCAATGATTTTAGAAATAGGCAATAAATTGCTTATAAAATTAACCAATCCCACTTGACGGCAACTCCAATTTGGAGTGAATTTTTAAAAATTCTATCTCCGTGCACAATGAACACATGCAGTTACACAAATGATAATTTTTATCTCTGCACGTAGAGAATTTTTTTTTTTTACAGATCATGCCAAATGTAACATGTTAAAAAAGGACAATTATATGCCACAGACTATATGCATAACTTTGTATTAAAAAGGCAGGTGAAAGTACTCAGAATGATTCACATTTCCTCCCTCTCCCCAGGTTTCCTTTGCCACAATGACAAAGCTGAATTGCGCACTTCATTTTCAGGCAGCTTCATATGCAAGACTATGCACTACTGTATTGAAACTGGATTCTGCTTAATAACAACCATTTGTTTGCTGTGCTTGTTTACAGCGCACTTCATACTCTATTGAATGGGTGAGAAAGAAAGGCTGAGAGGAGGAAAGGTTGCTGCCTGCTGTTGATAACAGAGGGCACCCTCAAGAACACAGCCACAAGAAGTATGTGGTCTAAACACCTACTGGGCTGAATTAGGTCAAATCAGGATGTGACACCAACAATGGAGGGGTAGAAAAGTAAGAGGATTGAGCAGACGTGCTTCCTAATATCAGGGATTGGGGCGGAGGTTCATTTTTACGGGCTATTGGTGACCAGTTTCAAATCACAAACAGATTGGGATCAGACTGCTATCTTGTCTCTTCAGCGAGACATTATGTAAGAACAGCTTGCATTCATATAGCATCCTCCACATAGGGTCCGAGGGATGAGTAGAGACCGATGTCAGTCAAGCGGAGGTGCCAAGTGGTGGATTGGGGAGTGAGGAAGTCGGAAAGGTAGGGAGGTACTAGAGAGTGAAGGGAGCTGTGGCGGAGGGAGGAGTGTGGATGGTCTGCGTAGGGTGGAAGGGGACATGGGTGGGGAGGACGATGCAGCCAAGCTGATAATTTCAATCTTTGAGGCGAAGAAGTCTAGGACGTCTTCTCACTTGGCGTTTAATGTGAGGATAGAGAGGGCGCATGGAGGAGGTGATGGACAGTGGAAAACAGCATCTTTGGATTGTTGTTTGCCTCCAGGATGACTTTGGAGTAAAAGTCAGTTTTGCCCTGTGAAAAAGGAAGAGGTGGTAGGTGCAGAGGTGCTCGAGCCACAGCTGGGGGGATTCCTGAGGCCGGATTTCTGCCATCTGTGATTGAGCACCTGGGTTTGTATTTTTAGTGAGCGGAGATGACTGTTGTATCAAGGGGAGTGGGTGTGTTTGGAAATAATCTGGATTTCAGGGAAGCCAGGGAATCGAAAGTTGTGGAGAGACGGTCATTCAGTAGCTTGATAGCTGCGTCAGGATCGTTTGGGTGGAGGGCCAGAGGGAGAGGAGGTCTGAGGAAGAAGGGATATTTGTGAAGGACTCAGGGGAAGCTTTTTCCAGGGGCAGAAATAATAGTGGAGGGCTTTGAAGAGTGGAGGGGTGACGCTGGAGGAGAGGGAGATGCGGAAGTGGTCCAAGATGACCTTGTGCGTGATAGACAGGTCGGAAATGTCAAGGCCATGTGCGCTGACGAGGTCAAGAGAATGGCCACAGTTGTGGAGTTGATGTGGAGGATGAGGTTTAGGGAGGAGGAGGGTAGTAAAGTAGGAGGAGGTGGTGCAAGGGGAGTTTAGGTGGAGGTTGAAATTAGCCTTTATGAGGAGGTGTTCAGTCCAGAGTAATCTATATACAGAGATGGGAAATGCAAAGGACAAACAAATATACTTTAAAAATGTATGCGACTATCTACAGAACTGAGCAAGGAGCAAATAAATATTCTGTGCAAAAATATGTTTATAAAAAGATATTCTGGGAATTTATATATTACTGTGATCCAGATCATACAAATTAAGCACTTAAAGGAACTAACTAAGCAAGAATTACAAACTCTGGGTTTATGGAAAGAAATATGTGGAATGTGTTGTGGTAAACATACTGCTTATTTTCCCTTTTATATCTTAAAAATAAACTGCAGCTAACACCATATTTTAACAAAAACTACTTCATGCCATTTAATGTGTGTCATTTACTGTTAACCCCATTCCCAAGTGTTTTTATGTATTTTTATATTGAATACAGTCAATTCACTTTACAGTATATTCTGTGAAGCGCTTTGAGACATCTCAAAGACGTGAAAAGTGCTATATCAAATGCAAGGATTATTATTATATTATTTTTTATTGATCATAGTACACCACACTTACAATGTAGCTAGAAACAAGAAATAGTAAGATCTTAGTACGAATTATAATAATTACTACTGTAGGATTTGCTTATTGAAGAAAGCGAAACACCCCTGGGAGAAGAATGAAGAGAAAATTGGCAAGGATTTTTAAAAATCCCCTTTTCTTTCTGTTTTAAGTTAGTCCATTCCTTTCTCTCCCGTCTATGCTTTTTCTCTTGAGCTATGAACAGCTTCACAGTGGTCACCAATGCTATTGGAGGATAAGCCAACAGATGGGTGGGGCTGTTACAGTGCTCTTTGTCTTAAAACCACATAGATTTACTCACATATACACTTGTGTCTATTAGAATAAAGTACTATCAATTATTTACTCTGGGGTTGCTCATCCTAAAAATGAAGGAAGTGATGTACTGAATTCAAACCATAAGAGATTAAATCTTCAATAAATCAGCCTCAGAATGTAAAATACATTAACAGGAATAGATGTACGGCTGATTATAAGTTACATGTAACTAATAAGGCTCTAAATTTTTTAAAAACCCAATGAAAGATGGATTCCTTTCTTCCACAGCAACTGCAGATAAATACAATACAGTCAATGCGTTAAAAGGATAAATTCGATGGGTGAAAATAAAAGCTCCTTTAAAGAATGTTGAAGGCTTGCTTCAATTTAAGTTTGAATTTTTTTTGTACAAACTGTGCTTTTTGTAGCTGCTTTCACTAGAGAAACCTTGTTCTGCCAGAAGGGAATGTCCCAATACGGTCAACCACAAACAATTATAAGCACTCTGAGATGCCGTCCGACATGGAGGGTGCTATATAAATCCAAGTTGTTGTTGTTGTTATTATGTATCACACAAAATTCTCATTCAGGAACATCACCTATTTTCACAAAGGCTGTGAGAAAAATATCAAAAGAATAAGTCATTCATTCTTCTTGAAATTAAGTTGAAAAACAAAATACTAGAGAGGCGTGGGTGTAGATTATTTAATAGCAAAAATGTCATGAATAACCTCCTCCTAATCTTATGCAATTAGCTGGTTTCTAAAAATGAGAAACACGACTCAGCAATAATTGCTGCATTAAATGCAAAACAATGACAACACATCACCTTCGGCCAAATACTGCTTAGCTTTGGTGTGGAGATCTGCTCACAAACTGGCTATGCCAGTGAAATTCAGACAGGTTACCACTATAAAGAAATTTATTGATGTCAATTCAAAGCTACACGTCAGCATCGACATTTTGGTTCTGTTCTGCAACACATGAAACGCCTCAAATGTCAACTTCAAACAGTAAAGAAATAAGGCTTTTTGAAAATGCTCTTAAACAAACATCAATCTTTGATCCGGTTACAGTTTGGAAGTGGATATATCTCTGATCAGCAGTGTTCTTTCCAGATCAAAAGCACTAGGTGGTTGAAGGAATGCTGCTCTACTTTTGACAGTTTCCAATTTTTAGGCCATTACAAAATAAAGTTTTAGGATGATTGAGCAACCAAACCCATTATTTACTTAATGTTTCAAAGACATGCATTTTGTTGATACTTTGCTGGTGTGCAATCCAATGATGTCAGTCAGGCATAAGTTTCTCAAAACTCCACCTAGCTTAGCTTAAAACTACCAGCCAATAATTTTGCAGAAAACATAGCAAAGCTAATGTACTATAAAAGATCAGGAAAGGCAGTGAACTCAACTACAGCATAATGCAAACCTATTGCTTGCCTGGCTCAGTTGGGAACACTCTTGCCTGTGAGTCAGAAAGTTGTGGGTGCAAACCCCATGTTGAGGCTTTGAATTCATAAGAGTCAAGGCTGATGTTGAGTCTTGGCAGTGGTGTGGAAGCACTGCTTTGTTGGATAAGCTATCCTTTGGGGGAGTCATTAACCTGAGGTCCTGACTTTTCAGATGGATATTAAAAATACTATGGTACTACTTAAATCGAGAAGGGAGTTTCTCCTGGTGTCGTGGCCAAGAATCCTCCAAATACCATTTTTTTCACTTCATGGCTGTTTGCTGGGCACAAATTGGCAGCTTTGTTTCACCTACAAAATACACAGTTGCTACACTTCAGGTTAGTAACAGTAAATCCTGATTATGAAGCACTTTGAGGCATCTTCCCAATATGGAAGGTGCTATATCTAATACAAGGATTATCACAGTACATACAAATTAATTTTGCTCCAATTGCATTGGGAGGGAGAGACAATTGCTTCGCGATAAAGGAGCTCTTCCTATAATGGCCCAAGGATACTTTTTAATGGGATAACCAAAGAGTGACATTAACTACTCTGGCAGATGACAACAGTTAGGATGGTGGTTAATATGGAGGGGGGTTGGAAAGAAAGAAAATAGTTGGAAGAACAGTGTGAACTATAACATGAGTGTAAATTTAATTTATTTTTGCAATGAAATAATTCAGGGAAAACCTGGAACCTTGCTTTAGTACAAACTAAACAGCGTTTACTGGCACTCATTGAGGACTCATGAAACTACATGCACTGTAAACAGGATGTGTACTGAATTTGTTCTAGTTAAATTTAAATCACCCTTGGCATGAAACAAGTTAACTGTATATTCCACTTCACTGTTTCAGTTTGCAAAATGGTCCATTTATTCTAAAGTGTGTTTAAT